TTAAAACCAAAAATCAATTGGTATCCAACGTGTACCTTGAGACCAACGAGTACCTTGCCAGTTACCATACCTGATAGACCCCCAAAAGATGAACATTTGAGGTCCAAAAAGTCACTGACACTGGGATATGGATCCGGGAAATTGTTATTAAAAAAAAAAAAAAGAAAGAAAGAAAGTAGAAAAAAGAATGGGTTCCTTATCTAAATACAGAATAATTAGCTTTCAGTTTTGGAAATTTTCAGTGTTTGGCTTATTATTGTACTGAATCTTAGTTCATTCTATTACTAGTAATAAAATCTTTGTAGTCAAGATTGGCAAAATGCACTATCATCTATATATTAGAAAAATATTATGTATTTTTCAAGCCTTTTAGTAGCTAATTAATAATGGACTTTTTTGTGCTTCTATCCAGTAGTTTTTTGTACCCTCTCTCTGTTCAGTGTTCACAAGCTGCATTTCAAGACACAAGGAAAGGTATAGCCCGGACCTAATGACAAACAAGCAGAGTCATCTGATCAGTTCTGCTTCCCAGCCGCAATAATTACCAAATACAAAGCAAAATGTATTTTAACAAGTACTTTTTCCTTGGTAAAAATGATTTTACAAGCTGATCACATTACTGCTCCCCAAAAAGTTCATCTATGAAGGAATGGCACCATGAAGTCCAGCAAGACTCATTGGTCCCCTGTTCTGCCTCCTCCCCATCTGGCCACATCCACCAGCTGTCAGGCACCAGTCTGCTTGCTCATCATATCAAACGTCATATAAACGTTACAAGAAACAGTCAGTAGAAAGCACCTGAAAAGCTTCATGCAGCAGGAAGTCAAGGCAGAGATCGAAGGCAATTGATTAATTATTTAACAACTCACTTTGTACAATTAAACACTCATTGGCTGCTGCTAAATCAGCTAACTGGCCTTTCCATACACGTAAGTTATGGTTTGTTTCCAAAGCTGGCGTGGGTGTTGCCAGATAAGCAAACAAACAAAAAAAACCTAATTATGAAATGTTCCAACTAAGAACAGCTCATAAAGTTACCTGTCAGTTAGTTTAAAAACTTAAGGCACATGAGTTTCCAATATGAAATAGGTAAATGATACTAAAATACGTAGATAGTTTTTATTCACAGGTACTTTGAAAGGTGAATACATACAAAAGTCACTTTCTTATTGACTCCCTTCTAGATCTGTGACATTATTTCAAAATGGGAGCAAGCCTCTAAAGAGCAACATCCCGGGAAATGTGAAGGCACAAGGACCGTCCGCCTAACTTATAAAAACAGGTTCGTGTAGCAATTATAACATCTCTGCCTTGTCTCAGGAATTATTAGATATATTTTTAATTTTTGTGGTTTCTTCATCTGAAAAATAGTGGCTGACTCAAAGCTTGCAACAAAAATAGTAAATGGGCGTAACTACAGCAATTTTAAATATATATAGGGTTCTTTTTTTTAATTTTATTTTAACCTCATCAAAGGTGATCACAGCTGCTGAAAAGAAACACAAAATTGAATTCTGAAGACTGAAATTAAGTATTTGCCCACTGGTTTAAATGTTGTTCTATTAACATGTTTTGACAGTGACATAAACATTTCACATTCAGAGCATATACCAATCCTCAGGGCTAAGATTTTTCCCTATCTTCTTTATTTAATAACTTTGTCTTTTCTGCAGGCTTTATTTTTCAGTTCAAGTCCATGGGGAGACAGACAGGGAGAAGCTGCTGCTAGTCTATCAGACAAATGATCAAATAGTCAATGGGCTCTTCCCTGTAAACAAAGAACTGGCAATGGAACTGTCTGCTCTTCTAGCTCAGGTAATCCTTGCTCATTCGTGCAGTTCTATAGATGGAAGCCTTAAATTAAGGAATGGTTCAGAGTTGCTTGTCAATCAAGTTACCTTCACCTTTCACACATGAAAGTGCAAGAAACAGACTGGGCTGCAAGCTTGGTGTGATGTTAACTTCTGTACTAAAGTGGAAATGCTGTTGGCGCCAGTAAGGATAAAAACTTCCTTTACCTCCTACACAGTCAGGCCCTCTTTGATTGAATATCATACAGTAACACAGCATTTGTTCATTTGCTATTCTTTAAACAATTTCTGCAAGTTAATTTATGAGAGTAACAACTGTTTAGTGAAAGCCTACAGGTTCTTTGTTAGATATGGTCTTGCTACCATATCTACCTGCTAATCTGTTCCACTTTAAAAAAAGATCAAACACTCAAGAGAAGATTACTTAGAAAGTTATTTGATGGTTTTACTCAAATCTGAACTGGTTTGTGTAGCTGAAAATGTAGCAATCTCAGAGAGGAACTAGATGGTATTCTACTCTACATTTGTATATTTTATATTTGATATTTATCTTTTTTGCAGGGTAAATATCAGATAATCAAAAATAAAATGACTTGCTTGGTTTCTGTATCAGCAAATAAAACACCAGGTGATTATTGACAAACATTTTCATTTTTTACTTGGACAGACAGGAAAAAGCTAGCTGATTGTAAGCACCCAGCTGGAAAGTTACTCTGCAAGAACAATTTTTTTTTTTCTTTGTGATCTTTTCCTTAGGTAGAGATTGGAGATTTTGAAAGGCCTTTCTCAACGCCAGCAGGGCAGGTCACGTCCCAGTCCAAGTCCAATCAAACATTAAAACAAGTTTTGGAGAGATTCTACCCCAAGAGATACAGGCTTGGCTGTTCAGAGGAACAGTTAAGGTGAGATGTGTTTTGCTATTCAGATTCAGTGAAAATTCAGCACCAAAATGAGGAGCTTTTTAATTGTAATAAGGTCTCACTTCTTGTTATGCCCCGTTTTCCTAGACCTGTGTTTGAAACTCACATTCTTACTGAATTCAAGAACCCATTTCCTTGGTGCATTACAAATCTACCCAGAGTACCACCATTAAGTCTGCATTCAAGTAAAAGCTTTAGAACAGACAGATTACTACATAGTGTTACAAAACCCAGAGATTTTGAAATTCTTATTTCTCTTATTCAGCAATTCTAATTTAAGCCTGAGCATGAACTAAAGAACTACTGAAAGTAAACGACATGAGGAGTATATCAGAGTGTTTGCTATTCCAATGTGCAATCTCTTGCAGCCACTCAGATTGCAATATGGAAACTTAGCCAACTTGCTAGCAATGTATCACCTAATTTTAAATGAATAATTTGCAAGTTATTTCACCTAATACCTATTAAAATAAACAAGAGCAGAGCATTAATTATCCACAGTCAATGCCTTGCAATTTTGAAGACCAGTACACATTACAGAAATGTTTTCTTCATTCCTTGCTGCAGAGTTGAGAGAGTTTAAAGCTATTATACACACAAAGTGACATTATTACATACCAAGAATTTAACAGGGACATTCAAAAGTTTACAGTAAAGAAATAGAAAGGTACACGATTAATTTCAAAGAACAAAGTGTAAGAAGCATTAGATCAGACTGACTTGTGGAGACTAAGTCTGTTCAGCCATTCAATTAGTTCCAAAATTACAAATTGCCAGAAAGTGGAAGTCCATAGCAGGAAAAGAGTCACTCTATGCCAGTCCCTTTTCTTCTGTTCTTTTGCTAAGGGTGCAGTTTGACTTCATATTCCCAGTAAGAGCCAGCTGCAAGTGAAAGATCTCCCCTCTACTATGCATTCTCCTTCTCTCTTACTGGGCTGGATCTAATAATCTTGTGGCTGCAGAGTGAGCCATTCCTGAAAGTCATTGTGTTGGAAGGTATGCCAGGGTGCTTTTGGAGGATGAGTTTCCTATGGGATCATTTTATAGAATCAGCTCACCTTGGAGCCACAAAAGAACAGAGCCAGTGTGAATGCATCATGCATCAGAAGCACCCTGTCTGGCAGCTGAACTCAGATACACTGGAAAAAAAAAGTAACATTAAGCTGCATCATCTCCCACATCTATGCTAGCCACAGGTAAAGATAGGTGCTAAGCTGGATGGATTTTTGGAATGACAACTGGCATTGCTGTTGAGTACTGATAAAGGCAGATTGATTACCTGTAGAGACATATTAAAATCTGAGCTACACTTTTTTTCCCTTATGCTTCCACTGCTACGTCAATATTTAATCACAATCCTGCAGAAACGAGAAGAAACTTTGTCATTTTCACACGTATAAAAACATTACACAATGTTTCAGATTTAATACTGCATAAGCGATAGTCGGTGCGTTAACTTAAATTACCATTTTAACAAATGGATTTTTTTTTGCTCATTAAACTTGTAAGGGTAAGTATTTAAAATCCTTTCAATAACTAAATTACATATTTCATTTCAACAGACAGCTTTGTCAGCGATTGTCTACGAGATGGATGGCTCTCCGGGGCCACAGTGCTGCAGACTGCGTGCGCATTTATCTCACCGTAGCCAGAAAATGGTCTTTCTTTGGTGCTAAATTGTTTGCAGCAAAAGTAAGAAACTTCTTGGAATTTGAGTGGTGTTATTTTAGTGTGATTTGCAGAGTTTTCTTAGAACCTCTCGTGTTGGAAAGGAGTGTGATACATGTGCTGATTTAATCTCTTCTCTAATCACTCATTTATTGTGGTGAAATTAAATAATCACAGCACTAAGTAAAACATCATACCTTCCTAATAAGCTCACTGCTTGTTTTAGATTATTAATCAAGGTTGTATCTTTTTTTCATATCTTAGTTGGAAAAAGACTTTGTTTCATACCTTTTTTGCCTGATAACTATTAGAGTACTGAAAAGCCACCATTAACTGGTTATGAAAGCAGAACGTGGCAGAAATGTGAACGTCATTAAGGGTATTTAGAGCACTCCCTTCTGTGCTGGCCTCCCTCTTAAACCGTTCATATCTTAATTCTCTTTGTTCTAAGAACAACCATGCTAAGTACAAGGGTTACTTCTCCCTTATGTCTTATTAGGCAATTCATATTTATATACACATATATATGTTTAAATTATTTATCTGCACTCTGTTCTTTGCACACATAGACGTTATGTGTGAACAAAATTTCAAACTTCAAAATAAAATTTACTAATGAGACTGTACATTTTATTGGATGAAGCACTGAGGGAAGCTTCACAAGCATTAGGCTGAGTTCTTAGTTCTTCCATTGGCCTTTGTTGTTACCTCCCAGCAACCTATGGGTGAAGGGAGCTCTGTGTTAGCCGATCATTAATAGCGATTTACACAAGTATCATTTTGAAGTAGTAATTAAGAACATTTCTTTTTATAGCCTCTAGCAACATCTTCACTCGAGAAGTCCTTCATATGGTTTGCTGTACATGAAGATGGCATAAGCATCCTAGATTACAGCACTATGGTAAGGGACTTTTTTTTTAAATACTGAGCAGATAGGGAGATTCAGCAGAATAGTACACAAAAGATAGCATTAGTCTTCCATGCCGTTATCTAGTCTTTCTCTTAAAGCAGAAATTCATTCCTTTCAAAACGCTTTAATGTTATCATTAAAGTCGTACTAATAATAGAAATAAATAATGATTTCTTTGCCCAGAATTTATTTTTGTTTATCAGACAGGGTTCTTATATCTTTTAATGAAATGTTAATATTTTAATCATTCAGATGTCAGGACATCTACAGTTACAATTCTTAAAATAACATTAATTTTCTTTTCCTGAAGACTTCATTTTCCATTATAATTCATAATGCATACACTCTGCAAAGTGCTGTTACTAAAAAGATTGTTATTCTCATTGTATTATTTTTGTTTAATAGTAGGTGATATAACCCAGTGTTATTTAATTATGTCATTTTAGGCTCTGATTTTTCTTTGATTTGTGATAAAAGTTTTCACAGAAAACAACTCCTGGTAATCAGTATTAAAAAGGCAGCACCTGAGAAAATCCCCGCTTTAATTTAATATGTCCTGCAAAGAAATTGAACAGCATGTCGCTATTAGCAAGTACTAATATTAAATATCAGAAAATTAAAATCTCAGATTCCTAATTGTATTGATATGGGCCTTTTCATTATGTTTCTTTGTAGTTAAAAAAAATAGAACAGAAGAGACAGCAAAGAAAGCAAAACTATACAGTAGCTGTAGCAGTATGAGTAGTATGAGAATGAACATTGCATGAGACTGAAGAAAGCCCTATAAGCATTAGTTTATCTACCCACAGTGCTACATACAGGATTCCTGCAGAACACTGCCTGCTTACAATGTAGGCAGTCCCTGCCCTCCATTAAAGAAACGCTCGGTTTCCAGGCAGTATCCTGACTTTCTGCAGGAAGTATCAAGGATATCAGAAATTGTTTTTCGTAACTGAAGAAGTCAGTTATTTCATGGGTGTTGTCTTATGATTAATTTTTGAGTATTGAGGCTTATTAATAGGGGTTTTAACAATAAACCAAATGCTATTTGTAGACTCAAAGATCACTCATGTGGTGCTGAACACTGAGCAGAAAGAGCCTCACTGGGCAAAGAGGAGGAGCTTTGAAGTGCATCCATGTGCCATCAGAGATGAGGGGGAAAAAACCAAAACAGAAGTTACATTAATTTGTGTTTCTGTAAACTACATCACAGCACAATAAGAAATTCTGGAGTTAGTAATGTTAGATGTCAAATACCCTACCATTTAACTTACTTAGACACTATTTCATTTTCAAATGGAATTCCTATGGAGAACTTCTAAGTTAGTCAAGAGTTATGTAAACTGAATTACAGACTCGAGTTGAAAGCTGCTTATAATATGTTTGATCTGGTTAATTTGGAATAGAATTTGGATTCAGAAGAGGCAAACGACAACATTTTGAAAAATCCACATGTAATGATGTTTGTAAGAGATATACTTGTCATAATGTGTTTTTCTCGCATTGCCCTGCTTATAGCTTTCGGGTTTCTTTTTTTAAGCGATTAACAGTTACATACACATATAAGAGTCTGATGACTTTTGGAGGCTATCAAGATGATTTTATGTTGGTTGTTAATGATGCTCAGACAAAGGACAAAGCAACTGAAAAACTGCTTTTCGCCATGACAAAACCCAAGGTTGGTATATTACCTGGTATAGTTTTCCACCATCTGCCACTTTTCTACTTTTTCTGAAGTGGGTAATCTTTAACTGATGTAAAAGACAAAACATTTCCTTTATTCCTAGTGTTCTCACATTGACTTTTGCCAGATATCTTTTAGAGGGAGAAATAATTAGTAATATAAGAAGCAACAGTGACAATACTGTGCTTTCATGTCCCTTTAGATATCATTCCAAATTTTTCATGTAAGGACATAGAAGGCTACTAAGGGCAATAAGCATACGCAGGACCTAAAAAGTAATCTGGCTGATTGAGCAGCACCACAGATCATATTTAAGAAGCTGTATTTCCATTCTGGTGTGGAATTGCAGAACACAACATCTGAAAGATCTGTCACTTCTTTAAAATCCTAGAGTATTTTTGACTTCAGTGAAGGAACTCTCCAAACTTTTTCAATCCAGATTCTCTCAGTCACTGGTAAGACTGACAAACGAACAAAGTCTTTTGCTGTTATTCTATTTCACAGACTGTTCCAAATATGAATTTCACATATGAATTTGGATAAAATCATGACTCTTCACACAAAAACGCAGAGTAAAACAATTATTTACAAATTTCTCTCAGATTGTGCCCTTAAAGGCAAGGTGGTTGGGTGGACTGTGAAGGAAAAATATAGTAAAGACTTCCCAGACGTCTTCGTTCCTTTAGTCTACTCGACTATTGAGTATCTTGAGTCCTTGACTTCTAGGTACTTTCTAGGAAAATTGAGGGAACACACCATGAAAGTTTTTTGTAAGAGCATCATCTATTGGACTTCAAAACCTCCCAGTTGAGTAAGCCATCTGTTTGAATCATTTAAGACTGAAGCGTGATGAGAATAGTGTTACATTATTGGCAAGCTGTGATAGAAGAAAGCTCCCTGTCATTAGCTTTGATGATTGATGAAGTACTTTTCCAGCTGATGGTGATTGTCACTAGCTAGAAAGTTAGCTATTTTTTCAGCAGTCAAAACACATCACTGTATTTTTCAAAGAGATTTGTATGTTCCTGTTATAGATTCTTGAGATCACTCTACTGATTGCCAGCTATATTAACAACTTTCATCAGCAAAAAGGAGCTGCTCATCACCTCTCTGCACCAGCATTACTGACACCTCAAAGTGGACAGAAGCTCAAGGAAATGGGAAGTCAGCCACTTCTTACCAACAACAGACCGACTAAATGCCCAACTTTATTATGAAAGTGTTACATATTGTCATAATACATCTCTGTTACATGGTTTCTACACCTATAGTAAACTTTCTGATGTAAACACATACTACATAAGCAGGTCTATAAGCAAAAGAAAGGCAGATAAGTTTACATCTACTTCAACGGTACATAGCAAGAGAAGCCCTCTAATGAAAGCCCTGGCCTGAACTGGAATGAAGAAGATGAGCCAAGTTAAGAATTCTGACTTGCTGGGGATGGTTTGTCCCTATTGATGACAAAAATCTGTCTGTCAATAGTATGGAAAGGTGGCCTTGGGAACAAGCCTATATATATATTTTTTAGTCATTTTCTAGGTATTTTCTCAGGGAAAAAACTGTCTTCAACAATTCGTCTACATTAAAAGATATATATATAGGAATTGTATAACCTTCACTTTGAAAAGGACTTTGCTTTATTGAAAAATGTCAAATAGGATATTTTCCATTTCCACTTCATACTTGCAGTACTATCACCATGGGACAAAAAAATAAATTGTAATGCAACTGTAATGTAATTATTTCTCCTTTAAAAACTTATAAACACATCTCCCAGTATACTTTTAAGCATTTTATATAGCTATTCTACATGGCAAATCTTCATCTTGACCTGAAAAATTTCTAAACAATCCCTCTCAGCTCCAGCCTTTTGGAAAAATCTAAATTGGAAAGGCACTGGGTTTAGTATAGTTTTGTTAAACAAGATTGTCTACCTGAGTTCTTCTTTAATACAGAAATAAATAATATAATCCAGATCAAGAATGACTCAAAACACAGGAATAACACAGAAAGACAGTTTGAATTGTTGTGCTTGGAGACGTATGTGACATGAAAAGTGCCATGTCTATAGTGTATATACATTGACTTGGAATAATATTTTATAAAAGGTGTACTTGTTGTCTTTCATTTGTTTCTATACATTTTGTACTGTAATACAATGTTCTCACACACCAAAGGTAAAATGCTATGTATGCACTATTGGACTTGGGAGTACTTCCTGGTTTCCCTTTTCAGCTGCAAGCCTCAGTGCTGTGTAGGGTCAAGGATACAAAAATGACACACAATTTTAATTCCAAATCTTATGGTTTCCATGCAAAGAAACACTTCTGCAGGCTCTGAAATAGATCAGCAGCAGAATACTCTAGTAGATAATTTAGGTCCAGCCATAGAAAGGCTAGTCAAACATGAATCATTGAACTACATACATTTCACAATTTCCACTTCTGTTCATGCTGATAATCAAGGATGATTAAACAGTTAATTACCTTGAACCGCAGCAATTTCATAATGATGAATATTAATATCCCATGTTTGAAAAACTCCTTTGTTTTATGACATTTTAAGATTTCATATATATATATATATATATACACATATACAGATTGAGAAAGAAGTGGTTTTCAGCTGTTTGCTCTCAGTGGAAGGTAGGGATTATCTTTCTGAAGAAATGAAATAGAATAGATGGGAGATACAGAATGCAAAAAGAACAGAGTATTAAAGACTGGAATGCCAAGTTGGCAGGCTGACTTGATAAATCCATTTCCTTTGAAAGCTCTCAAAATCCTGCCACAAGCTAAGTCTGCAGGATTCTACCACCATTTTATGGCTCAGTGCTTTCTACTGAAAATTACAGAGAGGCAGAGTCAGCAGCAGCTTCTGATACTGTTTTGTCTTTTAGTGTTAAGCTCTTGCTACTACAATATATTCCTAAATCAGACTCCCAGAAGCAATCCATGCTGTAGTTTCCATTTGTCTGGCAGCTGCTTCCACCTCCAGCAATTACTATGACTGACTTTACTGTAAGTTATAGAATGGTTTATGTTGGAGGGGGCCTTAAAGATCATCAAGTTACAACACCCTTGCCTTGGATAGAATTGCCAATCATTAAATCAGCCTGCCAAGGATCCCCAGCTCTCAAAGAGTTCTTCTCCTGGTCTGTACTCATAGCTGGGATTGCCTCAATCCAAGTGCAACAAACGCCTTGCAGCTGGCCATGTTAAACCTCATTAGATTCTCATGTGTTCTCACCTTCCAGGCCTGTCTGGATAGTGTCCCTTCCTTCTATTGTGCCAACTGCACTGCTCAGCTGGGTGCCATCAGCAAACTTGCAGAGGGTACACTCAATCCCACTGTATGTCACTGATAAAGATGCTGAAGAGCATTGATTCCAAGCCAGACCTCTGAGGAACACCATTCATGACCAGCTGCCTCATGGGCACAGAGCCATTGACAACAACTCTGACTACGAGCATCCAACCAATTCTTCATCCAATAGTCCAGCCTCCAAATCCTCTCTGTCCAATTTGAAGATAAGGATGCAGTGCAGGACCATGTCATCCTTAATCCCATATATAGTCATGTTACCACAAATGCTGTGTGATTTTCATGAAATAAATACACTCAGAATCATGACATGACCATACAACACTAAGCAATGAAGTGTCTTCCGGGATTTTGATTAGCAACAGCTAATCAAGCAAACACTCCCCTAAAGTTAACTATGTCCACAAGAAAATCTCTTACACAGATGAGCACGCTTCAACAGCTTAACTTGCAGAGCAGTGCAAGTCTCTGGGGAGCTTGCTGCAAGCCATTCTAGTCCCAGACCTACTAAGAAGATACCACACAATGTAAGTCAGCAAAACTGAAAATTTCAGGCAAAGAGTTAATCTATTCTGCCTCCCTCACCCAGCTTGAGCCTCATGACTGATTCACATCTCAGCATTAACCTTGAATCATTCATCAAAATAATTCACACCATGCTACCCAATGCACGACTAAAGCTCAGGCAGGAATTAGACCTTTCTTACCTTCTAATCTTCAGCAGCAACGATACCATGTGAGCCGTGAAATGAGCAGCAGCCTCTGGGACTGATGCTGAAGAACCTAGGTTGTAAAGACATATTCAGGATGAGATTAATATGTTAACACATGGAAGGAGACTTCACCTTCCATCACTAACTTCAGAGCAGTCTGTGCTTGCTTTGAGCTAGCACTCAGTTACAAAAATCTGTATGGGGATGTTCAGTGAATCTGAGGTCTACAACGACTGAAAGGTCAGTCGTAACTATATAAAACACATTGATAGTGAAAATAGCATTTGGCCTTTTCAATTTTTGTGTGGCAGTACTAGTAACAAAACACTCATTTCTAAAACAATGCAGTCCACAAAATCAATATTTTCTTATTAATAGATAAATAGATAATAGATAAAAAAATATATATTTATCAACAAAGGAATTCTGGTAAGTATTTAGAGCTGAAATTATTTCTCAGACTATTGTAGGTTTTATACGTTAGGTCCTGAAGGAAGAAAACCATTCTTGCATAAAGGAATGAATCTGTTAAACCTTTAGGTAAAGATTTAACAGCCCATACAGCTTTAGTGAGATCCATTAGATTGAGTTAAAATTAACTAAGGTGATTAGTAATTCAGTGATAAAGAATTAGAAAGAAAAAGTTATTATTTTACAGTTTCTTAAGGCAGTAAAAGAAATGGAGTAAGAAGAAATTTAAAAGTACCGAAAACTCCAAATTCATTTCCAGAGTGGACTTCAGCAGAGCTTATTAAGTGTAAACCCTTTACTTTGCTCTCAGCTCAGATTTGTACTGCAGCATTTTCCTGATTTGCCACCATTCTGCCATGGAACAAATAATTATAAAAATACTTCGGTTTTTAGTGTTACACTCCTGCTGTTGCAGTTATATATAACGAGATCTCAGTGCCAGGAGCCATTCCCACATAGTTTTGTTTTCTTTGACAGGGCTTTTAACCCTTTTATCTGCCAATTGTAGATCATGCACTAGTTTCACATAGCAAGATACCAGAAATGTGTCGTGGAAATGAAATTTACAGAAGAAATGTGTTTAGAAAGGCATCAGGAAGACATGCTACTGTACAACACTAAGGAAAATCCAGAAGCTCCTTTAACAATGCCATGGTTTCTATAGAGGTTAGCAAATGCTTTAGAAGAGTCATGTAAAAAGCAGGAAGTGAATCGAGACAAGGGAAGATAATCAGATTAAGACTTCTGGAACTGAAACTGCATGACTATGGAAGTCAAAATGGAGAAAAATGTTTTTAAAGAGCAAATATTATATGAGGCCTGTCTCTTGCCACATAAACGTATGTGGAAGGATGAAGCAGTTGGGATGAATTCCGAGTTAAACATTATAAGTGAGGCCTATTTACTGGTTTCAATCAAAACAGTAGGTAAGAGATTGTTTAACCTTGGTTTTTCTACCTCAGCTCTCTCAAGACACAAAGCAGCTACTCAGATACAGAAGGCCAGCTCCTGTTGCTCTTTTGGATTGTGGGTCACTTCCCTGACTGCCCAAGCTAGTGACTTGTCTGCTCAGGTTTACCTCCTTCCTACCTCCCTTTCATAAGATGAAGTCATTCCACAGTTTTACAGCAGCTGAGTTTATTAACAGACAATGCCTGAGGCTGAAGTAAAATATTAAACTAGAAAACAACAGCCATTTTGGGGCCAGTTCTCTTTAATGTTTTTGTCAATGACTTGGATGCAGGACTTGTGGGTATACCAAGTACATTTGCAGACAACTCTAAACTGGGGGGAGCTGTTGACTCCCTCGAGGGCAGAGATGCCTTGGAGAGAGATCTCGAGAAATTGGAGAGCTGAGCAATCACCAACTGCATGGAGTTTTCCAAGAGCAGTGCTGGATTCTGCACCTGGGACGGGGCAGCCCTGGGCAAATACAGACTAGCGGCAGAGAGGCTGGAGATCAACCCCACAGAAAGGGATCTAGGAGTTCTGCGTAACAGCAAGTTGAATGCAAGCCAGCAGTGTGCCCTGACAACCCAAAGGGCCAACTGCTCCCTGGGGTGCCACGGGCCCAGCACTGCTGCCATGTGAGGGGAGGGGTTGTCCTGCTCTGCACTGTCTCACCTCGGGCACTGGGTATGGGCGATATAGTGTAAGAAGGACATAAAGCTCTTAGAGTGGGTCTAAAGGAGGGTTGCAAAGACAGTGAAGTACCTGGAGGACAAGGGGTACAAGGAGCAGCCAGATCCAGCCTAGAGGAACTGAGGGGAGGCTCATGGCGGCTGCAGCTCTTCACAGGGAAGGGAGGGCAGCGCTGAGCCCTGCTCAGGGCCCGAGGGAACGGCATGGAACTGTGAGGGGTGGGGCAGCTGGGGGTCAGGCACAGGGTCTGCACCAGAGGGCGGTGGGCACGGCCCCAGGCTGCTGGAGCTCAAGGAGCGTTTGGACAGTGCTCTCAGACACAGGGAGTGAATTTTGTTTGTGCGGTGCTGTGTGGAGACAGAAGTTGGACTCCCTGACCTTCGTGGATCTCTTCAACTCGGGATTCTGCACGGTTCTATTAACAACTCCCAGCATTTACAGCTCGTCCATCCCGGACCTCGCGGATGAAGCAGCGCGCCGCCTTAAAACAAGGCTCCAACCACCACCTGCAAACCACCCAGTGACTCCACCACCTCCGCTCAGCCTGCTCTCACCAGCCGCACTCACTTGCACAAGGCACTTCGCCACGCTCTGTAGCCCCGAAAACGAAGCGGGAGAAACCGACAAGCAACCTCACGACCCCGAGAAGGGGAGAAACTCCTCTGGGTCGCCCAGCCCCTAGAAGAAGGGCTGAGGGAGGGCGGGCCGGGGCACAGCTGCGAGCGGCCTCCGCCCCCTTCCGCCTCTCCGCGCGGAACTACAGCTCCCGGAGCGCCCCGCGCCGTTCCCATGGCGACGGGCAGCCGGGCCCGGGCGGACAGCGGCGATGCCCAAGGCCGGGTGAGCGGGAGGCCCGCCGGAGCCTGGCGAAGGGGGCTCGGGCCTTTCCCCCGCCCCCTCGGGAGCACGGCGTCGCCGCCGTGTGGGCACGGGGTCGGCGGGCGGGGAGATGGCTGTAACAGGGCAGATTCGGCCTCTGCGGCTGGAACGTGGCGTGGGGGAAGCGGGGAGGGGGCTGCCCCCCTCCTGCCGGGCGGCGGGTTGTTTCTTTTCTAACGGCGTGCCCGTTCTGTTTTCCCAACCAGCGATACTCTGTGGGATATTGCTAGAGATGAAGTGGAGAAGAGAGAAAACTCCGGCCACGATGGCGAGCGTGTGGAAGTTTGGGAAAAATCAGTGTTGTTTATGGGAAGCAAAAACGGGGTAATGCTGGTTATTGGGTGCGTTCTTTGAGCCCAGGTTCTGTCAGGGAAGAGATCTGACAGGTGTGGCGTTCACTCAATTCTTCTGAAGATGAGATGCTGTTAAGTTCCCTCTTGTGAAGAGCTAACTGGGAGCAGACTGACTCAAGTGCATTTATACCAGCCTTGCTGTGATTACAAGCACAGGAGGCTTGCTGGGCTCTGTGTCTGTATCAGGCAGATCTGAGCACACGTCATAAGAGGTTGCAAGATGGTGGTTCCAGAAACAGGAGAGAGAGTGACTTGTTATGTGGGTAAAGGACTTTTTATGCAGTATGATAGGGCAAAGGGGAATGGTTTTAAACTAAAAGAAAGGAAAATTTTCACTGAGTGGATGCTGAGGCAGTGGCACAGATGCCAGGAGAAGCTGTGGTGTCCCATCCCTGCAGGCACTCAAGGCCAGGTTGGATCCTCCCTGACTGGGAGGCAGCCCTGCTCACGGCTGGGGGCTGGAAATGTGTGGGCTTCCTCTCCCTTCCAACCTAAAGCATTTGGTGATTCTAGGATTCATATGACCCAGGTCATTTTACTTTTTTACTGCTACTTTACATTGTCCTGTGAGTTTGGTCATTAATAACTCTGTATCTGACATCAGTTAGTATTATTTACTTTTCAGAATAGAATTTTAATTTTAGAAGGATTGACATTTGTACAGCCTCTAACTGGCAGTTAGAACAGCAGCATAACTTGATTCTGATAGAAAGTTGGCAGTTAGTTTTCCACCATGAAGTTACAAACAATTGCACGACTTTACACTTTTCAGATACCTCATAATAGGAATATTACATCAGTTAGTTTCATTTAGTGATAAAAGCTTATGTCTTAATGACGTTACAGTAGAGGAATTCTTTGTTTTTCATTTCCAGGGGAAGACTACTATCATACTGAGGTGTCTTGAGAGGTATGTGTTAAGTATTTTTCAACTGTGGGTACCTAAAGGCTGATAGTAATAAAGGACATTACAAGGAACAATTGCCAGTAAAAGAAAATTGTTTAAAATGTAGCTAACTAGTAGAGGTAGTCATGTAATCTAGTTGATTATTTGCTGGGTTTGATAATGAGATATAAGCCTTTTTATTTTATTACTGTAGTTACTATAGTGTTGTTACTGTCGTGTATTTTTTTAGAATTTTACGTGAATAGTTATGTTGTGTGAGAATTCATAATACAAGGATACAGGTGTTGTCTTTTGTGTCCAGTTGATCGCTTACAGATTGAACTTACTTCCCTTCACTACTACATGTCATCTGACCATCTGACCCCTTTGGTACTCTTCTCTAATATGAATGCTTAAATGACTGTCTCTTCAGATTGGTGCTGCTCTTTCTTCTTCTTTGGCAGAAGAAAGACATTGTTGTATTAAAGTGTCTTCTTCGTACTGCTGTTTCTAAGCTAAATTCTGAACTGATTTATAAATATAACAAAAGTAGAATTGACTTTATTTAGAGCATTTTGTCAATGAAATTATTTTTCTTTGGATAGGGAAGAGATTCCAAAGCCAACGTTAGTTTTGGAATATACCTTTGGGAGAAGAGCAAGGAGACACAATGCAGTGAGTACCCAGAAAGTTCAGTTTTATTTATGTATGTAGTTTTGTAGTTTATTTTACATACGTATATATATATATAGAGAGAGAGAGAGAGAGAGAGAGAGAGAGAGAATAATATGTAGTTATTTTCATCTTGGAGGTTTATACTTGTGGATAAACTTGTGGTTTATATTTGTGGAGGAAAAAAAGTTTTTTGATTATCATTTTATTAAAAATGTTTTAATCTTTAATGTATTTTCCCCTATCACTAGAATGCAGTAGATCAAAGACCAAAGTATAACACAAAGAAACGGGTTTCATTTATGAAATCTACCTTGTTTGTCATGTTTGAGTGATTTTTTTCTTCCCAACGGAGGAAGATGCACAGGATGCATGCCTTGAACTTTGTCTTTAAAGTGTGAAATGAGTATAAACCAATGAAGATATTTACAACTGGATTTATGAGAGACATATTCATCGTAGATGATAATAAATCATAATTAAGTTTTGGTTTATGTGTCAGTATCACTAACTTTGCTCTGCAGATCGTGCTAACAAGAATATTGAACCCATTCTGATTGCTGCACAGCACTGTCCAGCAGTAATAAGTTGCTGCAGGCAGTTGCTGTTGCTGTTACTAAAGCATGGAGTAGAAAATCTGAGAGATAAAAATCACTTGAAACTTTCTGTTTCAAGCTAAGTTACAATGTAAAGGTTGATCGGTTTTCCAGTTGAGACCATTACTCTTGAGCTAGAGTAAATAAAAAGGATGAAAAGCTGATATATATATTTTGTAATATTTATCATTAATCATGTTGCTTCCCAACTTCTTTATCTTAAAGTAGTCATTCATGGAGATTGTCAGCCGGAGTCTTTGGCATTCTATGGAATTTCTTCATTTTTTGTTTGATTTTGATTTTTAGAAAGCACTTATGAAATAGTATGTGCTGTTGTTCTGAGTCACTTGCACAGAAACTCAGTGTATCAGAATCAATGCTTTCTCTTGATGTCTCATGAATGCATGCATTTCTAACATAATCTATTTTGCAGCCCAAAGATATAGCTCATTTTTGGGAAATAGGAGGTGGAACTTCGTTACAGGAACTGATTCGAATACCAATCACTGTCAACAACATAAGGTAAGTGATTAATATTAAAATTTCAAAGTTAATTTCAGCTGCCTGTCAAGCATAAGTAAATCTCTAGAATGCTTATTATAGAAAATTATTTCAAAATATTAGATAACATATTTGAGATTTTTTTTTGTAAAAAGCATGGTAATACCATCAGTACTCTGCTTTGAACTTCCTTTTCACAATCCTCTCCTAATAAGACAAGTTCTTAGCAGTCTCTAAGAACAAGAGAAAGCAATAACGTGAAGGAAATGTGTTGGCCTTAAGTAGATAGAACAAGAAATGCAGAAAAAGAAAAGACGTAATCTCATTTTAAGCTTGTTGGATGAGCAGAAGCAACTTGGGATACAAAGAGAAAAAATTGGTTCCCTACTTTTTATATGCAGACACAGGAACTATCTCTGTGAGGAGCAGTATTTTAGGGTGAAAGATGAGACAAAAAAATTACAAATAAAACTGAACACTGGATTATTAGGAAGTGAAGTGACCATCTGATAAGAACAAGGTCAGACATGAGAGATGATGGAAAGGAGCTAAAACTGTTGAATTAATTACCAGAGAAGAGAAAATAATTCAGAATGAATAAAGAGAATATAGTGAGAATAATCAGAGTGATGGTGTAGCACAGGAAGAGGAAGTGTTTAAAAAGTTGCATGAAGAAGCAAGAAAGTGATGATCAAAGATATATTTTACCTTTGTCTTATGATGCATTGCTGTATTTCTTTGGTAATCAGCTTTAACTTCTATTAAAAATAACAGTAATTGGAAAGATACAATTTCTGTCACATACATTGCTACTGCTCTGGCTATTGAGATAATGCTGTTGTTTAGTGAGGGACTAACATGGAAGAAAAGCACTTCCAGCACTTCCAGAAACCCTGTTGCTGGATGGGCTTGGGGAAAATTCAGCTGTTTTTCAGATATCTGAATGAACTTAACTGAGCTCCACCTCAGAAGCTCATGAGAAGGAATCTTCTCATGAGGATGATCTTAAGATTGTTTTATGAGAGAGCAACACTGTGCTTCAAGATCATCTGTGTTAACTTCAACATACTACTCAAAAATTCTAGCGTTTTTCACTAGTTTTCTCATCCATCTGTACTCAAGCAATTTTCTTATGTAAAAGTTCCATGAACTATAGTTGCACCAAGAAAATTTTCAATTTTTCCCACAGTATTTGAAGGTGAGATTGGATGTTCACTTTGCTTTGTTGTATTCCTGATAACCACAGTGGTCTGGAATCCCCTTTTTCATGTCATGGTGTAACGTGGGAAAAAAAAAATTACTAAATCTAGTCAATTTGTGGTGTTTGTGATGTCCCCCACCACATTTACAATCTAATGCTTTTGGAGTCTTGGGAGCCTAGTAATTTGTAAGCATGCTTTCAGTGCTCTGTCTTCTTCCATTTGTCTTTCAGAAGACTTTCTGATATACTCATTTGAGGTTCCAGATAATTGGCACCATCCATCAGACAGAATGATTCCTTTAACCAGCTTTTTCTATGTAATCTGACAAAGAAATATGAAAGCATAGAAATTTCTGATACATTTGTGTTTGATAAAGATTCTGTCTGTTTACTAACTTTGCTTCAACTCAGAGTGTAGAGTTCAGAGATGACGTGCTTGTAAACAATGCCTCCAGAAAGAAAGTCAGAAACATAAAATCCCCTAAAACTTCTGATGGAAAGTTACTGAAGTAATAGAACAAGAGACAATGGAGAAGTTTCTTCAGTGCTCAGGGTATACTTAAAAGCCATCTCTCTTTGCTGTCACATTCAATTCTATTTTAGCCTTTGTATTTTCATATTTGTTGCTTTCAGCGTTTGTACCACAGTTACGGTAGTGAAGGAAAAGGCTGTTTGTCTCATGCACTGAGGATCTGAGCAGATAATGTCTTTTTTTAATAGGTCATTTGCAGTAGTTCTCGTATTGGATCTATCCAAACCTAATGAACTCTGGATGACTATGGAGAATCTTCTGCAGGCCACCAGGAACCACGTGAATAAAATTTTAGCCAAACTGGAAAAGACAGATCATGAAGTAGCTGCTGAAATTAAGCAGAAGATGCAGAACAATCTACAGAGGGATCATCCAGTAAGTTACTTCTAATATTTTCTCCAGATGTCATGGGCCTTTATACAGTTAAAGATAATGCTTTTCAAAATGATAAACAACTCTTTTAGATTTTTCTGCATGACTGAAAATCCATTTGATGTAGATGAACCTGTTCACTGGAAAATTATAGCAATTTAAGAAAAATTCAATAAGAGCAGAAACAAGGAAAGAAGGTTTCTTATATCTTTTTGTTAGATATCTAATGTGATTGTTATGGCATGTTACACCTATCAAAAGAAATAGTTTTAGAGTAGCAGTTTGCTTTTTTTCCCCCCTCATCTTTTTAAAATGAAGATGAAAACTAGAATGTACAAAAGTCATCTAGCAAGAGACTAGCTGAAGGTACAAATTTAAGCAAAGAATATAGTTATAACAGCCATCAACATGACTATATACTTTGCATTTATTTAAATGTCTATCACAAACTCAATGCCTTTTGATAATCTGACAACTAATTAAATTATAAAGTTTCAGAAATGTTAACATCAGTCCTTTAAACATAATTGCTAACTAAATCTCTGGAAAAGCTAAACTAGATTATGCGCAATAGAAATGAAAAATCATTGTGCATGAAACCTCTGCAAATGTTGTGTATATATAATGGATAAATAAGTATTTAACAGTTCAAAGACTTGGCACATAAATCTAGTTACTGTAACTTCTAAAATGCTGCGATGTAGTAAATACTTTTCAATTTTTGAGCTAGGTAAGCAACTTCTCCATTTTTTGAGAGAGCAGTACATGCAACGTACAGTAGAGATATAGTGTCTGAGTTTTGCTGGATAATAATTTCCACTTTTACTTTTTAAGAAGGAATTTCACAAAAAGAAATTACCTACAAGCACAGTTGGCAACAAATCATGACTGCAATGTCAAGCTTTGAAAAGGGCTTATCAACTGGAAAACTGCTAACATTTTTCAATCAGAATAAGAAAAATGCCTCTAATGGTTTAGAAGACTTGTTACCCCGCAGGAAACACAGTTACATCTTCTAAAACTTCCATTCTGTTTTCATTATCATAAACAACAGACACAAACAAAATGTTCTGTTACTACTGGGTTCTCATTAAACTTTATGTTGGTTTTGTGGGAGGAAATATCATCATTTACAGTCAAATAACTATTTGTTCTTCTAGAGCTAAGCATTTTTAAGATAATCAGGATTGCTAGGAATCTGAGATTATTAGAGTTTTTTGTGTTGTTGTGGTTTTGTTTTGTTTTTTTGGAAGATTTGTTATATTCCATTAAACTGGATAAATGATTGTTGGCTCTGATTTTTACAGAAGAAATGTAATCAAGTGCAGACCTTGTTTAAATAGGCAGGATGCCAGTTTTAATGTGTTAGTTTTTTATTAACAAGAATTATTAAGAAATAAATACTTTGGTTATTTTTTTTTTTTTCGAGTCTCCACTTTATACAACAAACTATATAGGAGGTTTTGCCTTGACAATGTAGGAATGCAGCAATTATTTTTCCCTTCACAGTACAGGATTTCCTGTACTTGCAGCTTCTTGCTAATTCTCTAACTGTCATTTAGTCTTTTAGAAGTTAACAGTTAGATCTGCTGCACATATTTCTTTTCCACTCTATTGCAACCAAAGTAGTTTGACAAATTCATCTTATGAATGAGAGGGGATTTGTCTCATTTCACAAAGACTACCTGAAAACCTTCCAGATAACTTGAGAATTGTTGTTACCTACGTATTAAAACTTGGACCAGAGGCTAACCATCTAAGTTATATCTACGCCTCAAGAGCTACTGTCATCCATTGGTATCAATTTGGAGAATGTAGCATGGATTGAAGTTTATTCATTCTACTTAAGGTTCTGAAAAAAATAAACCTCATCTCTTTTGAATTAATTTTAACCCTTTTCGGTTGTTTTAACTATTACAATCTTCTATAATTTGCTTACACTGCTTAACCATTATATCTGTTTAATAGGATTATGACTTGGTTGACCCTTTTCCAATACCCTTGGTGATTATTGGAAGCAAATACGATATATTTCATGTAAGTAATTTTTTTTATAGTTGTGACAGCAACAACAGTAAGCTACCATTTTGTTCTGCACCTTTTTTCAAAGTGTTTTTTACTGTCAAATGAGTAATCGCATCTTTTGGTGGGAGAGAAAAAAATGTACTGCTGGGTTCTCTCCCAGCCCAAGCAAATACATGCCCACTTTCCAAGTAGCACTTGATCATGAGAAGCTAGAACAGTATGTTTGAATTTAGCTACTGTACTGGCAACTTGTGCTTAGCTGGATGACTACATGGTACACTGGTACTGGGCCATCTCAGAGTTACTTAATTTTTGTTAATAAGTACCGTGCATTCTTTCATACTGAGGCTTTGTACTGAGCCCTGATCACTTTAAAAACCAGTGACTCTCATGTAATGAACACTGAATAACTGCCCAGTTCCACTGGAGTCTATGGACAAAGTGCTGCAAGCTTCAGTGGGACAGGCTTTCATCCCCTTGATCCAGGGCACACCATCTGTATGATCTTGTGTTGAAGGAACATAAATGATATTTTTCAAATCTTGTAGTTACTAGAATTTAAAGAGCATATAGCTAAAGGTTTACTGAAAGTTAAATATTTTCACAAAAAACGAGGAAAATACTGATTCTTCTAGAAGTCAGTATTTCTTTGGTTTTAGAATTCCAAGAACTACGAAATAAATTAATTGAAAATTGAATACACATTCCCAATTAAAAACTTTTCTGGACTAACATTGCCAGAATTAGGCTCCCTCTGAAAAAAAGAAACAAAGGGAAATTGTGACATTTCTTTTCAGAGTAGGCTGTTACTGATTCTGTCTTAAGATATAATTATGCTGACAGCTGAACGCCTCATATGTTGCAGCCTAAGTGCATTGCAGTTTAAAGAAAAAGAGAAAAGTTCTAGCTGTAATGTTTTGGGGCTTTTTATGTTTCTTACATGTGTTCCAATATCGACTTCTTTTTTTTTTCTTTTTTTTTTTAGGAGTTTGACTCTGAAATGAGGAAAATAATAAGCAGGACACTTCGATTTGTTTCGCATTATTATGGAGCATCACTGGTGGTATTTATATTCACTTACTAATTAAGAAATAATGAGATGAGTAACACTCGTGCTACAAAATATTAGAAAAATAGAAATAGAAAATCCTAGACAAGACAGAGTTTAATTAGTTTTACAGTAGCTTTCTTAATGAGCTAGTTTGTAAAATAGGTTAGAGGTATTGTCAGCAAATGGATGAATACATGTTATATAAGTGCCAACAAAAAACTAAAAACATGGTTATCTGTTAGCAAACTCAGTTCTAATGTTGAGTTTACTGTGCGGCTTATAAAAGTTTTTGTTGGTGTGATAAAACAGGCAAGAATAAGAGTTTGATCTAGATGGATAGCATTAGCAAACTGGCCTCTTTGGTAGAAGCATGAACTTAGCTTAGGTCTAGTGGGCAGACTTCTGAAGATTTTAAAACCTGGCTCCAGGGCCATGACTTTGCAGCAATTTAAGCATTGATTACCACACACATGCGAAGAATAAAACCAAGGACTTTTTCACACTAATGAGTAGGAACTACCAACACAAGAGAACCGTGAGACTTGACAAAGCATTTACGTGGGAATATAAACTGAGATGAGTTTGGCAGATAATCTCGTGAGTAGAGGCAGAAATCTTCCCAATCAGGTTCACAACCCAAAACAGCTGCCCCTTAGGCTCCCTTTACATCAGACTGTGGTTATAATTTTATCAGCCATCATTTCTGTAAAGCCATTTTGTGATAGTGGCTTATTTTAGTTGCTGAACAGCTTATGTTTGTTTAAATTGTTCTAGTAAATCCAATAAACATACACTAATTTTGTTGAGGTCAGGAATTAGCCAAACTCAATCTGAAACAGTCTATGCAGATGATGTAATGTAGTATTTCTGTGATGGAAAATCATAATGTATGTTTTGTTTTCTAATTCGTTTAGTTTACCAGTAAATCTGAGGCTCTCCTGCTGAAAGCTCGTGCTCTTATTAATCACTTGGCATTTGGCTACGATAGAAGGTAACAGTGATTCTCTAGTTTATTGTCTAGTATTAAATGTCTTGCCCAGAGTCTATAAAACTGTTTAACGAAAACACTTGGATGACCAAAACTTCCATTTTCTTCACAATAAGATAACCTCTGCAAAATTCTTGTGGAATTTTATTCCTGTCTCAGCTGCACATCTCTGGACAGAATAGTGGTAACTCTTGATTTTATTCCCTGAACTGACAGAATAGAAATATAGGCACCATTATAATTATATAGATTTTTGCTTACATATATATCTGTGCAAAACCCAATAAGAGTCTATTCTTAGCTAGAATAATGTAATCATCAGTTTATTACTAAATGTTTTCTTACTGTGTATTCTTTTTTCTGTTTAGCAAGTCCGTATCAGTGGATCACAGCAAACCACTATTTATCCCAGCAGGCCTGGATTCACTGAGCCAAATAGGTTGGGACATTTGATGTTCATTGTGTTTGTGGCTTAATTGGTTTTGAAAGTTAGAAAAATATATTAAGCTGTTACAAGATAAGCACACTGTCTGTTTTGACTCATCGTTGAAGCAAATGATGTGGAAAATTTTAAACTGCAATGTGGTATTTATATTATTGAGAATTACTTCAGGTAACCTACTGAAGTATCAGGACTACCTCAAGTTGTAAGCTACCAACAAGCTTTGATCTAAAAGAAAATGTAATATAGAATTGCCTTCCAGACTGCTTGTAACAGCTTTTCACTATAGAAGGGTTAGTATTGAAGTAGCTGGATCAGTACTTCATATCAGTTGTTATGATAACATACTTGGATTACGTTGTGTTGCTGTGATCCTTAGGGCCACCACCCACCTCTGACAGCAACATTGGAAAGTTGCGTGCAAACACACCTTTAGAACTGTGGAAAAAGGTGTTTGAGAAGACATTTCCTCCTAAGGTAGGTGTTTACATTTCTGCTGCACAGATTTTTTTCCCTTAGAATAGCAGTGATATTACTACTTATTATTGCTTTTCCAGTCCAGTGGCTGGAATTTCAGTCTCATTTAGTAGTTCTGGTTCTTCTAACCTCTTTATACAGTGGGACCCATATGGTAAAGACTGGTTTTACTTTTCAAAAACTATATAGTTATTTTTCACATAACTTTTGCTCCTAGCCTTTTAAAATGCAATGAACATCCACCATGCAGTAGCTGTCCATCTCTCCCCAGCACAGCTAGTAATTATTGGATATGGAATGTGAATATTTAAATTCAATTTCTGAAGTCCTGCATAGGACTCAGTTTTGACCATAACTTTAACTATACCAGCTATTCAAATCTGCAGGTAGATATAACTGCCATAAAGTAATATAGTAATCATTTGGCCTCTTTAGTTAATTATCTCTGGGCAACCAGAATGGCTACTTTGTATCTTTGTGCCATACATCATGGAACCTTAGCTGGTGCTTTCTAAAGTTATATACCCTGGCCCTTTCTAAAGGGTAAGATAACTCAGTAGCAATCCTTTACTCAGAATTTACCCCATTTAAGGGTACAGCTTACACTGTCATTTTTGGATGTGTCCACATACATTTCTCATCTTGCAAGCCCCATCAGTGAGATTTCCATTCTTCTGTTTTAATTCCAAAATATGCTTTAAGCTTCAAAGGTGTTTCAGTACAATTTCCTTCACTTCATTTTATGATAGTTTTAATTCTGCTTTATTTTATTCTGTTATTTGTACAGTTAACTGCTTGCTACTTTCCATTTGTTATGACTGCAGAGAGCTATAGAGCGCAACATCTGAAAAAACCTTATTTAAAAGTTTTCTGTTGGTGTATTTTCTTCTTTGGAATTAAATGTATCATTCTCTGAAGTATAGTAAATGAAATTTTAGAACAGGCAAAACGATTGTAATAAACTCTTGAAGTGTTTCACGGATACTGAAATAATGCTTCTGGCAGCCTTAAATGAAGCATCATCTTGAGTGTTCAAATCACTGAGATGTCTATCCTTAACTATGCCCAAATGTCATGGGCCAGAAAGGATTTTTGCTTTTTTTCTCTGGACCATTGCTTTCTTAAAATTTTACCAAACCAAGATATCGTATTGCTTTTTCTGATCAATATCCTACAGTGCAATTTTTTGTCCATAAATGCAAGATTTTAATACCTTTCTATTACAAGCAAAATGCGTCCATCTTATGTATATCACTGCCTATTCTTGCAAAAGGAACAGAAGGTAAAGTAAGATAAAATTTACCTTGTGTGTTTCTCTCATTTCTTCCTCTAAGAGTTTCAGTGGCTTACAAGATAGCAAGGACCCTGCACAGGACTCACAATATGCTGAATACGAAGTTGATGTCATGAGAGCTCAGAAAAACCAGGTATGTGCTTGTTCTTCAATTGCTTTTCACATTCAGGTATTTCAGAAACACCAGCATTGCTGAAGTAATTGTAGAATATATTCATATCGTCCTTTTGTCTTTACTTAACTTCTACTTTACTTCAAAGACTCTTTTCCACATAGATATGTTGTTGTTTTTTTTTCCATTGGTAGACACTTTGCAGTTGGAGTGTTCTTAGATCTCCAGGTTTTGGCTGTTCACTTTAGAAGTGAATAATTCAAACATTTCCACTCTCTCTTCCAGAATTATTTCACTAAAAAATAAATTAGCTTTATAGATAAATGAATTGGCTAAGGTCAGATTGTTGCCTTATCAATATAAATATAAAACCTCCCATGAGTAGAAATGTAGGCTTTACCAATATCATAGGTATGGGTCTGTCAAACTTAACCCAAGATTTATACGTGTCTTTTTTTGGAAGGAATATAGCATATTTATTTGGAAAATTCTGTATTTCTTAAAGATTCATGTGTTTCACATGGAGAAAATTCTTTGCTAGAATGACTGGGCTATCTGCTTGTCATTTAACTTATTTATGTACTAAGTTACTATGGTTAAAAGAGGTTTTCATAGCAGGGGTTTAAGCTGATGAGAGCAGGAGATCTTTTAAAGGGAGACTGTACCAATTTAGGTCTCACATACTTTTACGGAGCACCCCGCTTAAGATGAAAGGCAGTTCTCTTGAGCTGCACTGCAGTTAATCTCAACTAACTGTAGAATACTACAGCAAATTCCATCCTTTTGCATTTGTGTAAAAGAAAGCAAAGTATTTCATTATTACTGCTATCCAGTTGTTTGTTTTTTTACAGTTTGGTTAGATTGCATAAAGGCTGTAACTTTATAGTTAATTGCCTGATCCAAAGAAATGCATTAATAATGTGAAAGAATAAAACAATCCAGACTTGCACATTACCTGTAATGTCCTGTTAATGTAGGCGTCAGTTCTGAACTTCTGTTATATCAAAAGCAGTCTTAGAAATCATTAACATTTGTAAAGCACATTGCTTTTGGAATTTATAATACAATCTTATACCCAGTATAACTATATGGCATATTAAGTTATTTTTAGATAATAGTAACATCTTGCAAAACAAGTTGCTGGTATGCGTTGATTAAATCGTGCAGGAAATTATTAAATTTTCTGTTTTTAAACAAAAGAGAAAAGCTTTTAGAACATTAATCTGTTCAAGGGCATTGGAAACCAGTGTAGTTTCTTTTAGTTGGACTACTGCAAGTAATTTGAGCATTAAAGAGGAAATTACTTTTGTTATCTGCACCTATTTTCTAAACTTCTCTATCATAAAGTTTAATTATTACAAGATTATTTGCACATTATTAAAATGTTTTATTCTCAAAGAATGTCATTCAATTTGAAATGCACCAAGATAGCAATGTACATCTTTAAAAAAGAAAACAAAAAAAACCCAACTATGTAGTTAACAGTCTTGAGATATCTTTGAATTTTCCACTTATATGAAAAGTGGCACAAAAATCCAATTTTTGAAGGAAAACATTAAAGGCATCATAGGTCTGGCATTACTTTTTGGATCTTCATGCTATCTACTATTTAGAAGGAACAATATATTGAAATGTTTATTATGCAGCGTGTTGCTAATGCAATCATAATACAATATGAAAGTTTCATATCATGCCAGGGTACATTTTGAAATCGTTTCAGCTCATTTTACTTTCCTGGACACACTCTGTTAATGTGCCACTTTGGACTGTAGGTTTGTTTATCTCAAAGATAAGCTTTAAAGGAGCAAACACAGAGATATTGTAACAATAAAAATAAAATAGCGTCTTGTATCTTGTATCTGATAAAACAATTAGCACACCTGACTGAAATTCTGGCTTTAGGTGGGATGCTAAATAATACGTGGTTGATTTATAGATAACCGTAGCAATTTAAAGTTTAATAAAATCAAGGCTGTTTCCTCTATTACCTTCCACTTGTGAGGAAGTGCCCTAGCACCAGCCAGTCTCTAAATAAATCCATGTGGTTTGCAGAATGCATTTCTCTCCAGGGATTTCCAAGTTTGTAGAGTTTGTGTGCAGCTGGGGTCTATGGAGAAATAAACGTGTCTCTTCAGCATTGGCTGTGATGATTCTTAATATAAAATTAGCTGTGAGAAGGATACACTCTTTTAGACCAGAATATTCTGCGTCCTTATTATTCTCAGAGTTAAGGATGGGACTTATTACCCTATTACTAAGCCTCTTTGCTCTGGAAAGCTCTGTGGCTACCTTTTCTACACTGTACCTTAGTTCTACTTATACTGTCTACCTTTCTCAACTATGTCTTTTCAGAATTCTTTTCCTAGTTTTTAAACCACAGACATTACTTGCTGATTTATATCAATTAATGCTCTTGTAATTGTTTGCTACTTTTCTCATGCTCTGGAGTTATTCTCTGAGAGAATGTAGCATCTAGGACCTTTTTGAGATCTGCATAAAGGATAAAAACTCCTTTTATCTGGACATTTAACTGTAGCTTTGTTCATAGGAGCAAATGTTAAAGGTAACCTTGAGCTCAAGGAATTGGATAGCCTCCTAATTAGGTTCTTTAAAGTCAGTGCCAAAGTACCAACAGATCACTGTTACGCAAAATTGAAGTGTTAGGGATTGGTAGATAGGTGGTGTCTTTCGATGTCAGCTTACAAGTAATGGCAGCATATCTTCAAGAACAGGGCTGTAAAACCTTAAACAGAAGAAAGGAGGGTTGGGGCGGAAAAAGCAACAACACTGAACGTATGAAATATTCAGAAATAAAATTATGAAAATTTATCTGAACTAAGATTAGAAATACATCCTGTCACTAATCCTCTCATGAGTCATACAAACACCAAACTTGTCTATCTGTAGATATATCTTATTACTATTTTTTTATAGGTCCTGGATCAAAAACTATGTCACTCACTTGGTTGGTTCTAAAACACCTGTCCTGTGTTGCAATAATGGGCTAATGAACCATGTCATTCACAACTGCTGTCATTTTTGATGTCAGATCTGACATTGTTATTCACACCCCATCGGTATCTGACTGTGGTTGGGATCAGTCAATCACACATTGGCCAATATGAGAATCAGCCATATTTTTCTTAGCATTTTGTCCTGCTATGAGCATATTGCAGAACTTCAAGACAGCACTTCAGATTAAACAAAATAGAAGATTTCATGCTGTGCGGTGAACCTCCTGTCCACTGTTAGTGGGCAAAGGGTTGTGACACTCACCTTTACAGCAAGAGCATCTTTCATTTTCTCCAGAAAAGTGCTAGTCTTCATGTTGTGAGAAAGGTTATGTAAGGTGTTGATACAGCTGCCAAGAGTAAGCTTTCTTGTTTTTGCATGAAAACATAACCAAATGGGTACAATACAGGCATTTTAGTGTTGGTTTAAGAGCCTTATTAGAGCACAGTTATTAAACTTCTACTGAATCTTAGTTGCTTATTTTAATCCTTGTTTCAGCACTTGTTTCTTTTCACTGTGCACCAGACTGAGAGCAAGTTCATTCAGAAACCACATTTAAAAAAGACAGTTAAAGTTGCAATGCCAGTCTCTTAGGACTGAGGGAATGAATCAATTAAGGCTTTTCCTGCAATCGTAATTTTACTCCTTGTTTGTAGACATTACAGCATTGTCTTTAATTACATGATCATATACTATTTTGCTGATGTCTCAGTTCAGTTGTTCAGTATTTCTTTTCATTATACTCATTCTTTGTGTACCTTATTTCTCAACCTGCCATTCAGACACTTCAGTGAACACAAAAGTATTAATTTTTTTCTCTAAGAATGTGTGGTAATGTTATCTTATCTGAGTGCCTCACAAACATCAGTTAAAGTCTTTCTTCTCGATCCCTTTATGAGATAGCTGGGATCTTCCCCATTTGACAGTTATAGCAACACAGAAGTACAGAAGCATTAAGGTTAAAAATATATATATAAAAGAAAGGAAAAAAAAATCACTTTTAGCCAGAGTTGAGGCATTTAGGACAAGTTGCTGGCACACCAATAACATTTAAAACACTCAAAGCACACTGAAAGCAGTTATTAATTCTGTAAATCTGATCTGTATGATGTACACTGCGTTCTCAGGGGAAACAAACAAACAAAAAAGTACGCTTAATTCTAGCTGTGATCATTTGGGCTTACCTGGAAGTATATTCTTTGGTAGGATGTTCTTCTAATCTGGAGAGAAGATCTCTTCAGTGATTGTGTAGTTACAGTATATTGTAAAAATCTGCTGATGTTTGTAGTATATGACTACATGAGCAGGAAGTGTTTGTCAGAAATGTCTCTGAAGTGATCTTTAAGTTGTATTTGAAAGATTTTTCCCCCCCCCTATTTACATTGCTGATCTATGGGGATTTATTTTACTTCCTGTTTTACACCAGAACTAAGGAAATATGCTCTCCTGACAGCGTTTGTCCTCCTGAATCAGCACATTTGCTAAAGGCTCTTTTCTGTATTTTTCCCCATATAATCCTGTTTATTTCTTTGCTTTCATTTCACTTTGAATAAATGCAGTCTTCCTTTGATATACCTCTTACATATTTGGCAAAATGAGAAATATTTATTGCTTTATGTGGAAGAATAGCTACACTCCTTTAATTTATTCTGGTTTTAAGCAAATTGACTTGTAGCTAGCTAAAATTACAGCAAAATAAGTTCTGCTGAATTATCTGCCTTTCTTGAAACACTTAGTCAGAAGGGACACATTTGTAAAGCTAATTATTTAGGCTACCAGCACCTGTAGAAGTGATCTTGAAGCTTCGTCTTCATATGTAAAGCTTCTTCACATACACAGATATTTTAATATAATGGTAACTGTGATGTTATCCATATTCTTAGTAGGGCCATAATTACCTAAAAACATATTTTTTTAATTTTGTAAAAATGATATATTTTATACATCTTCTATTTAAAATTGCAATATACTTAAATGTTTTAAAAATCCACTTTGACCTTTAAAATATATGTATACTAGGACTTAATGTTAGATATATTATAATTTATAGCAAACTTAGGGTTTGCTGTGTAGCTACCAGTTCAATGGAAATTATATGATCAGACTTTATAATAAAGACTTAATAAAGACTGCTCAAAACCAAAAACTGACAGCAAAAACAAAAAGACAGGGAATGTGCAAATATCAAACTTGCGGTTTTTAAAAAAACATCAGTGTGAAGACTTCCAATAAATTAAAATCATAACACGTATGTCTTTTTTTTTCCTGGCATTGTCTGGGATCAAATTATTTTTCAATACTATTAATCTAATAGGAAATGAAAACAAAACAAAATTTTTAGCCCTTTCTGTAGCATATGAGAAAGCTCTGGAATTGAAGTTATTTTCCTAGCATCAAATAGGATACATGTACTTCTTAAAATATCTCAGTATTCTCTCTACTTCCACTACCAAACTGCTGGAAGTTTGCCATCAGTTCAGAACGTTCCGAGATCGCAGTTACTTTATACTAATAGTGAGGGAACAAAGTACTGAGTGTAGACTGGCTTAAAGATGAAACAATATGCAGTCTCACTGGACTTGTATTTAGTAACGTAACTTAATACATTTAGACACAGTTTGTTCTGCATCAGTCATCAGTGAGTAAACTGTAAAACTCAACTCTTGTAAGCATCAGAAGGATATGTACTAATTAAAAAATCCTCATATTGCTCATAAACCTGTGGTGCTTTCTGATAGCTTTGCACTGCTGGTGAAGCTGCTGAAATTACTGCCTGAAAGAGAAAATTCATTAGACTTTCCTCACAGTTATTAGGCAATGATTTTTCTGTCGCTCATGTAAAACACTTGAGCAATTTTGAGGGTCTCCACTGCATTTATACTTATCACTGCTTTATGTCCAGCCCTTTTCCTTCCTTCCCGCTCCTCCCCCTCCCATTTTTCTTCTCATCACCCCAAGCTACTTCAGTGGCTGTACAACCATACATGCATAGACATTATTTTTTGTGATTCCTGGAGGCTAGCTTTACTTATTTGCTTTGGCAGATAATTTTAAACTGTATTTTGTCTCTTCTTGGCTTGAGAGTGAATTTCCAAAAGGATGAATGTTCTTTTCTGCATAAAGCATTTTGGGAAGAGGAGCTCCTGGTTTTTAAGTTATCTTAAGTACAAGAATAAATACATTGAAATCTCATTGAAAGAGTTGTACTACTCCTGAATTAGCATGGCTCTTTTGAAGCTCATAAAAAAAAGCTGCTGGGTTAACTTCTTCTCTTGAAGTGGTTGCTGTTAGCAGCCTACTGTATTGCTCTGTTAGCATGAATTCCTCAATAAACAATGGAATCAATAAAAAACAGAATTTTTGCCTGCTCAGTCCTATTCACAGCAGTATGTTTGCACGGCCTGATTCAGTATCTTGACAGATCATAGAGCTGTCTAAATGCAGACATTTGCTTTCAGAAGCTTTTCAGGTAACCCATTTTAAATCTGACCTTCAGCTGTGTTTCAGAATGTGCATCTAGTTTTGTTTTTTTAGTTACACCTAAAACACAAGATAGCACTGTCTAAGAAAACCTTCCTGGCACATTTTTTGCAGTACAGAACTTAATACTGCAGGTAGATCATAGCAACAATGTGACAAAGTTATCTGTAGTTAATTGAACTCAATGAGAAGTTCCAGTATAATTAAATTTTGTGTGTGTGTTGTCATTAAAAGAGAGTTAATGTGTTCTTCTAAGTAAGATAGAATGCTTTTTTCATTGCAAATAGCATGTGGTTAGGTCTAAAAGTTATTTCATTAGAGCAAGTATCTTGTCACTCTTAAATGAACAAAAAGCAATCATAGTGCATTTAAAATAGCTTTTTCACTGGAAAAAAATAATCAGAAACAATTTCTAACAGTATACAGCAAGCTATAAAATCCTGAAAATGAAACTGTTTTTTTGCAATGTTGCTAGAACCTTCTGTTAAGGCTTAAGGATTCCCAGTAGCACTATTTGACTGAAATGAGGTCATTTGCTTACCTTGCTGGTGTTCCACTGATGTCTAGTACCCCATAATACAGACTGCCCCATGCTTCACACCTAATTTACACTATTTATATCTCCACAGTTTGAGCCTCCGTTTGCTTTTAATAATCTAATTATCATCTAGAAGATGTGTAGTTGTAATTACCACATTGGTTTTGTATTTTACTTTTACATGCAGGTGTAAGCTTTTCAATCTATTGAACAGTAGCACCTGAAACTTTTTTTTTTTAAACTACTAATTGAAAAAAAAATTAAATACAAAACTTAAAAGCGTGGCATCATTGTCTGTCTTGATTACTGCACTTCCTGAAAAGTCCCAAGCAGTGATGAATGTCTCCCTGAATATCCAGTACCATAGATTGTGTAGATACAGTACATTGATCTCCTAAACAACCACTGCATTCCTCCAAAATACATTTCTGCTTACTACTGTCTGGACAAGATTGTGAAAGGTAGCAAAGACAAAATGCAGCTTAAACTTCAATGACCACAGCAGGGCCACTAAGGGAACACCTGCCATGTGTATATCACACATATTCTTAGTATATCTGGCTTCAGTTCTGTAGGGGTTTCTAATGCAGTGTATAATGTTTCAATAGTTCAGCCCTGTGCTTAAAAAAAACCCAAAACATTTATTTTCCATATTCTTAAGGAATTGCCAATCCATTTTGCTCCTTGAAAGGCCTTGACTTGGACACTTGGTTTGTGTGACAAATTAGTTTTTGTTCAGTAATTCTGTTTTCTGTTCTCAAAAGACATGTACTGATACCTTTTAGTTTGTTCACGTGGAGCCTGGCTTCTCCAAACCAAACATCTAAGAAATGGTCCCAACCTTCTTCAACCTTAGAAAGCAAGTGTCTAGGCAAAAAATAATAATAATATAAAAAATAAATCTAGCTCCCTATGTCTTTACGTGAGAGCAGATATATCAAATGCCACACATTCTGTATTATTTTGTTAGAAATAACAACCATCTAGTTATTTTTTTCTACAGTGACTAATCTTTGTACACACTTTAATTGATGAGGTGGCTAATATATCTTATCACTTGTAGTCATGAAGATATTAAATTAATATCTACGTATATTTCTCTTTCAGGAACTTGAACAATACAAAAGAAATGCCTCCAAATCCTGGAAAGAAATGGATTTTGATCCTGATTGATGAACTGCTGAAGGCGTCCTCAGTTTCACGTTTGCAAGATTTGAACATGAAGGTGGCATCAGTCAGTCCTATCTGTTTTATAATTTGTAACAAATTACTCAATGTATTTTTGAACGATACTGCCTAAATCATGTGTGTAAATGCATACAAGTTTTCACACTCAAAGTTTGAGTGCAACTGCAAGCTTAAGTACACCAGGCATCTTCAAATCCAAAGCTTAACAATGCATTTCCCTCATAATTTGACCTATTTGAATAGTTCCAGAAAAATGTGCAGAACAAAGTAGAATTAAAAACAATTTTGACCTGATCTAAAATTCGTAAGTCTTCTTTATCTCAGCTTCAGTATCATAAGGTTTGATTCTTCCTCTGCAGTGTTTCAATACCTTTTCACAGAATTCAAAACAAAACATTTCTGTCAAACATTCTAATGAAGAAGTCATTGTAATAAATTTGAAAAATATTTGGTTCAGAGTGGAAGTTTAATTAATTCTCATTCAACCTAAGCTAGAAAAATGCTGGCCTAAATATACACAGCTTTTTGTACATGGACTTCCTCACTGCAGTCAGCTGGGCTGAGTCTTCTGAGAATAAGCAAGACAAGATCTGCGTTAAAGCCAGAGATGGCTCTTGAAAGCTAAGACTTGTAGACCTGCCTAAACAGGCACTTGGCAGACCAGAATGCAAGAATATTCCCTGATGAACAACTCTCTATGTGGGCATAAAAATGGCAAAGACAAATTAACCTAGTATCATTCCATCCTTTTAGATATATTTTTTTCATGTATTTCTTTATTGAATTTTTTGTTCGTGTAACTTTTGTATCTGAGAATATTATACATAAAGATAATTAGAAGAAAATCTTGGCCTCACAGTTAAGTGAAAAGCTTGCATTAACTTGAGGATTCCATACTTGTTGTTAAAATGTGTGTTATCTTAAAACTGTAAAATTAAACTAATTATTTTACTATGGAATTTTAAGGTACAAGTATACTTAATTCTGCAATAAATAATTTATTCAATGAATATGAAACAAAGTTTATTAATTTTGCATCTAGTAGGCTTTCAGTTTTGAGAGTTACTTATTTCTATTTACTAATTGGATAAATTAACCCCTTTGATGTGTTAGTGAGCCCATGAAAATGGTTTCCAGAGAAAGATGCAAATAACATGTCTTTCAAGAAAAGGGAGGCAACCTAGGTGAACTGATACTTTATTAATAAACAATTTTTTTCCCTAGTAATTCACAGACTGCTTCCAAAACAAGATTTAGAACTGAATACCGAGAAGAAAGAGCAAATATAAATAACATAACTGCCTTCTATGATCTGGCATTGCTTACAAAACAAAAACATTTGGTAACTTCTATGTTGCTTAAAGTTGCTTCTTGTACTCGTGGATGCTGTGGTTGGATAGGATGCATGAGATTAAACTGACTTCTTGATTCTGTCTTTTCTTACAGTGTTTGGTTTGTTCTCTTTCTAAAGTCCCAAAATGTTAACAAAACAAAGCATACTATTTTAAAAACAATTCTAGATTTACTCAACAATTCTACTTCTCTGTTTATTGGAGTAGCTTAAAAAAGAAAAGTATGGGGAAAACATTAGAGCATCATTACATTGTTGAAGAACGAACACATCAGCAGACTAAATGAAATTTTAAAAGTCCTCTAAAACATGTAACACTGTTGAAATGGCTGATTTGGAAGAGGAAAAAAGGGTGGGAATACCAGGAATAGCAGGAAGTCATTCACACTCTTATTAGAACATTGTTTTTTAAGATGGAAAGTGTCCACTTAGAATCAAGCAAGGGAAGATGTGTTTCTCTATGATGTTTGATCGTTTAAATTCTATATAAAATCCAGCAGATCAAGCTTTGAAGTGTAATAAAATTAAAAGTACAGTATTACACATTGTTAGTACTGCTACCTTTTTTCACTGCCTGCTAATAATCTTCTCTCTTATTTTGAAGCTCAAGATTGCTATAATGGCAAGTACTGGTAGGAAAGCATAGAGCAGTAGGAAATCCATTGTGAACCGGGATAATGCACCAGGAAAGTTTTGTTCAATGAATTGGATGCCATGAGAGATTGGACATTTAGCGTTTATTGTAGTGGAACCGTTGTCTCTATCTGTCAAAAGAAAAAGATAATTCCTTCAGTATATTAATCAGTAAAATTAAAACTCAGGCTTCACTATCTAGGTTCATACATTTAATTTATCTAGCCTTAATATTATTTTAATGATGAATTAAACCCACAGCTACAGCTCCCACCTTTTTGGTGTTAAGAACAGACATACCGTGTGTTTCTGCAGTTAATCTAGGCCATGTTATTTGAAGAAACAAACAAACTGCCTCTAGGAGCTTTCTGTTTTGTTCATACCAAGTAAATGAAGGGTCTAGAGGGGCTGCACTTTGGCCAGTACAATAGATGTATCATTCCCATTAAACATCAGCTGTTAACGACTACTACCAAAATCATGGATTCATTTTCTAACAGTTGTTTCTATGGTTGTATTCAAACAGTTACACCTACACTTCTCTAATGAAGAGGAACAGGAGAGATTGATGACAAATAGCGCATAAAGGATATGTAGCCTTGGAGAGAAGCACAAGCACCTGTCCACAAAGCCCAAAATATCTTAAGGCTGAAAGATAGCTTTCCCCCTGTTGACAGATTCACATCATCCTTCTAATCCTTCCAACCTGACTGTAATGTCTTTCACTTACTTTGCTCACAAGCAGTGAAGCACAGCCTGACAGACCGAAGCTGCTCAATATTTGCCATGCTAATACATTGGAACTGAAGCCTCACTAGAGTTAGAGGAAATGTCTGGTTGGATGTTATGTGTACTGCTGCCTGCACTGATATTCGATCCTGTACCATCTATTTCTATTGCTACTCTATTTGTGCAACTGCTCTGATAAACACATAGTAGGCTGCAAAGTTGACTTTCCAAAATGGAGAATGAAAGAACAGGTGAAGAAGATGAAAAACTGAAAGAATGAGGAATGGTTGAAAAAAAAATAGATTGACTATTTATCTAGCTTGCAGATACGGAGTTACAGTACATTTTTCCTAATCAGTAAGTTCAGGATGTTTTAAATAACTAATAAGTTTTCTTTAGGTTATCAGGACAATTTTGTTGTTTGAGGAAGGAAAGGAATACTTCTGAATACTTACCACAAGTGAAGTTTAAGCCATAAAATTCATTGACTACCAGAATCTCACTGCTGTATTTTTGAAAGGTGAGAAAACTGAGTATTTGAAAAGGCATTGGCATTTCTTCTATGGTCCTTTTAAGAAACAGAGAAGTTAAATTGTCATTTGCTACATTCCAAGAACCAGTTCTGCCCTAAATTGAAACAATCTCTCTGGTTGTGGGAAAGTTATAGGAAGAGTTCTTGGCTGTAAATGTCAGCTTTTCAAACATAAGTTTTATTTCAGTGCTAAATGAGACAGCAATGAAGGTTCTCTCTGACTTTGGTAAACGTCGTAACATTCAGTCCTTACTTCTTGCTGGTGCATTGTGATGTTCCTTCACATTTATTAAGCTATTTATTGATTTAATACTTGTATGTAGTTGAGTTTACACAAATTAAAAAAGGTATCTGAAAAGATGAATGATGAAACTGGAGAAAAACATTAATAACATTGTTGAGAACAACTGTTTTTTTCTGAAACCACTATTTAATGTGTGAAAGTTCCAGCAATTATTAAAACTGGTAGGATTTTTTTCGGTAGAATTCTCTAATATGGACAGCATTTCATACGATCGTGTTGGCATAAGTAAAAGAATTCAGCTGAGCTGATAGATTTGAATTGCTCAATTTTATCTTCAAGTCATATGCCATTTTGCAATAATAAATAAACATTTTAATATCTTTGCAGATATCTAAAGTTATTATTTGTGTGTGTGTGTGTATTTAGTACAAAGTCTAACATGATTAGATAGTTCTTCCTCTCTGAAGATAACAGCTGTACTTTCATTCCCTTTCTCCTCTGCATCACTCCTCTGAAGCAATACAGATTTTTCTTGAAACTCATCTATAAGTAGACTATTTTAATGTCAACACCATCATAAAGTAAAATGTTTTCCTACCTTACGAGTCCGGTTCCCACTACCACACCTGCTGAGTTAAGCAGCACCACTCCACTTTGGACTATATTTGGGTTTTGAACAACCCCAAGCATCACAAGGGTGAGTAGTTCACCAATCACATGGGACGCCAAGACAACCGCAAAGAAAACTCCAAATCTGAAAGGATCAGGATACAATCCCACAGTCCTGTACAAAAAAAAAAAACAAAAAACAAATGAACCAAGGGATATTTTTAAACAATTTGGTTTGGGATGAGACCTGGAATGTATCATTCATTTTTGTTTTCATTCATTTCTGCAATCATCGCTCATTAAGAGCTTATCCCTTAGCTATTTGCGTGTTTGACAGAGCCTTAACAAAAAGGGCATCAACTTAAATTCTGCAGATATATGAGCTTTCTCCATCTAGATTAAAGAGAGTTATGTAAAAATGTAACCATAGAAAAAATGTGTTATATCAAAATAACCACCATGCCTTTAATGATCCCCTAAACTAACATTCTCCTCCTTCGAGTCCATTCAGTAAGAGTTGAGTTATTTATAGGTCGTATATTTAAAGAACACCCTTATGCAGACAATTAACAGATGGAATCTTGCACTTCTGCACTTACATGTAATGGTAAAAACAGGTATACTCATCCTAATTGAATAGAAGGCTAATTGAATTCACCACTCCTGTAAGCGTAATTCATCCAAATGCAATATCTTCCATACTTTTACACTCTTTAATAAACTCACACTGTTCCTTGCTTTTCCCTCACTTAAGGAAAACTGTCCCCCTCCAATCTGTCCGAAATACTAAAAAGTAAACAAAGATAGCAATTGTTTGGTAAACTTGACAGATGATAAAATCTTTAATTACATGGTGACATAGTACATTTCTACTATACTTCATTCCAAAATTGCCTCATACCGGTACATACCACGTGTTCTGCTTAGCTAGCAGGCAGCTATTTGACACTTCTTTTTCATATTCATTGCTGAGATGAACATGAGAAGTCACAGGACTCTGTCATATTTTATAATCCACCACACCCAAACCATGGCCTTAAAGTAGAGCTGTTAATTTTCTCACAGGATTTCCTGTAGCATACTTTGCATGTAATGCTGAAAGAGTATTATAAACACGTGGCTGAACTTTTGACTCTTGACTCTTCATGTACTAAACATTCACCAAGCCAGTAGGTATTTAACAATCTCTAATCATAGATGAGAGCAGACAGAGCAGCTCTCCAAGGTCCTAGTATTAAAGTTTCCCCTTCTCTGAAACGCTCTAATACAGATATATATACCTGTATAGATAGAGACTCACAAATTTGGGATAGGTATAGAAAGAGAAGAAAACCAAAAAGGACAGAATAAAAAATCAACTCAGAGAAGAGAAAATCAGAGCAATAGAATGGTAGGATAATATAAACTGTTAGAATATTCTCCAGATATTATAGAAAAATCTATATCATATGATATCTATATCATATGAGTGACAAACAGTAGCTTGGGACAAACAATAACTTGTGACTCTCAGGAGCTCCACAGATCTTCTATCAGTGACCCTAAAATATACTTTCCAAACCACACCGTCCTCAGAAATTGGCTCACTGGCACGTAGCAATGGAAGCACTCGAGTGAGCAGAGTGCATCCCAGCACTTGCTCAAGGGAAATAGTAACAGGACTTTGAAGGTAGTACTGCCTGAGGCAGGCAGCACTAACAGCTTGCAGAAATACATACCCAGGCAGTTAAGGGGACCTAAGGAAAGACTGCCTTGCTTTAACAGAACTGCTTTTATTCATATCAACACCAATCTATCAAAAAACAAAAACAAAAAGCCCACAAAAACAAAACAACAACAGAAAAAGCACCAAAACCAAAATCATGTTCATATGTCCTCAAATCTGGAGTATAGGAAATTTTTCTTTTGGGGCTTTAGTCTTTCCATCTCAGAAAACCTTGGAGACCAGTTGTTGGGACCCGAAATGAAAAGGGGATGGTAAATGCTTTTGTGCCTGAGCACTTCCCTTTGTTAGCTCCTACAGAGCAAGAGGAAGAACACCAATCTGTTTTCACATGTTTTTCTAGATAGGAAAACAACTATTTCAGGATCCCCCTGGCAGACTATCTCCTGGCACAGAAGTTCTAATTCAACAGTTGATGGAATTTTATGCAATTTTACTTAATCTGTTTTCAAATTACCAATTGTATCCCGCTGCAAAGCTACAGCAGAACAGCTCCTGTATCCATTGTATCTTTTACAATAGTTATCTCGAGAACCAATTTTGCCAGCCTTACATACTTATTTGTTATTACTTTTGTATGTACATTCAAAGTTTGACCTACATGAAATACAAAGCCTTCCTGCAAATACCTCAGCAACTCAACTGGTCTTCAGCAAGACTAGCAAGTTCCTAAGGGCCGCTCAACTCCCTGATCCTATTTGACATCTCTTGTTTCAAGTGTACATCTAATCTTAACGCTGCCTGGAAGAGAAGGGTTAGAATTGCATAATCATTCCTTAAATTTTCTTTGTGATCCTTCTGAGAGAAAATAGCACTAAGCCATGCAGGGAGGCTTACTCTGACAAAGGAACTGAAATAGATACAAGAAGAAAACAACAATGTGTTTGATGGTACAAGTACTTACCAGTACATAAAGGTGCTGAAAATTACCACGCTGAGAATACTGAAGGGCAGGAAATGTATGATATAAGCTAAAAGCATTTGCCACTTCTGATACAAGCCATCTTTGCTTTCTTGGTCGCTGATAGCACGTAAAGGTGGGACTGGATTAAATACAATTAAAAATATAAGAAATAAATAATCTTTAAATAAAGAGACCAAGACCTGTTGTCACAAAATTGACATTAAGCACTGAGACAGCTTTGTGCATTTATCAGAAACATTCTGTTTAAACTACCCTGTTCCCCTCTTCCCACTGTGATTGTAAAACTTGGTCCCTGCAGAATTTTCTATATTGAGTAAAACAGATCTGAGGCGGCTGCATGCACTCTTCTCTTTCTGCAGATACAAATAAAGTCTTGGAAAAGCTGCCATCACTGGATAACGTACTGACATGCTCTGATCTCAAGGTGATGACAGCAGTGTACATTCCTGACATGAGCGGAACAGTTTTTAGGGTTGTAAATGCAAACTACTGTTGGTCTTTGTGTGACTAATCGATGGTAGCTGTAAGAGAAACACCCTTTGATAGAAATATAATCATCACATAATAGTCTTAAACCAAATTATCCTTCCTTGTCCTCAAGGCTGTTTTGTACTTCCACCCTTTCCTTGTCTTTGTGTTTGACCTTACTTAAGGCTGTAAATTTTACACCTAGACTTTGTCCTGTCCTTTGTTATGCGTAGGCTTTCAAAATAATTTCTCCATAAGCAGGTCAGTAAAAAGAAGTGGTGGGGATTGCCCTGTCCTTGGAATCATGCAAAGTCAGGTTGGAGGAGCTCTGAGCCTTGATCAAGCTGCAGGACATCTAGTTCAACTCCCCTGCAATGAACAGTTGGACTAGATGACCTTTAAGAGTCCCTTTCAACTCAAATGGTTCTATGATTAGGGGCATAGTGATTCATTGAGCACAGTGAACATGGAGTTTCTTGGATGTGCTACTCTTCTGCGTTGTGAAGCTTGCTGTTGCTTCACTTTTGAATTTCATGCTTCCCTATCAACTCTTATATTACCTAAAACTGTAGGAATCCTTTAAATGACAATCTTCAAAAACTACTTGCTCCTAGTTACAAAATAGTGGCAGCAGTACCTGCTGTTGCACATAGTAGAGGACAGAAACTCACAAAGGGCAGCAGCATTGAGCATCCCTGTGTAGGGAGGAGCACTCACGCACTGGTAGAGGAGACCCACACGGTTCTGTACTGCTCCTTTTTCCAAGTCAGATGTTAGTCTAAGAAGGAAAAATGCTACAAACAAGCCAAACAGAAGATTCTGGAGGAGACGCATGATTATGCCCATCTTATCTTTAGAGAAATTTCTTGTTATCCTCCTGTTAATGAAACAAAACAATAGCAATATACCTCTTAGTTATGACTGACCATGTGCTCATAGGGTATTTAGCTTTGAATAAATCTTACATACAAAATATTCCCCCCAAAAATAATATGAAAAAGACAGACAGGTGAAGTGATAAACTAAAATAACAAAAAAAAAAGTCTTACCTTAAAAGAAACCATAATTTGGAAAGGGCACCAGGTGAGTCTTTGTTTTTGAATGGTATGGGTGGAAGGTCTTTCATAAACCTTGTTCTCTCAATGGCTTCCAGTACTTTCCTAAAGATCTCCGAGTTTTTGTAAGCTGATATAATCACCTGAACCCTGCTATAGGTTTCAAGTTCACGTTCCTTGCTTCGAGTGTCCACAGAAGTCAGATCCACTGTAAATTTACAAAATATTTACCATATGTACATCACTTTGCCCTCTTAATCTTTGCCCTCCCATTCCTGGAGGCATTCAAGACAAGGCTGGATGTGGCTCCGGCAGCCTAATCTAATGGTTGCAATCCTGCCCATGGCAGGGGAGATGAAACTAGATGATCTTTGAGTCCTTTTCAACCCAGACCATTCTATGACTCTATAATGATTCTATCTGTTCCTCCCTTGCAACAAACCTTTCCACATCTCTATCCTAAAAGCTGCAAATAAAAGGTTGACAGAAATACATGAAGTTTCCTTTACTCCTTCTTTTCTATTTGAAGCAGAAAGAATGAATGATTGTGCAAACACAATAAATCTCTCTGTTTTGTGTCCTCTGTAGGACCCTCAAGGCTTATGTGGAAATGCAAGGACTTAAGCGTTCCACAGTCAGACCTTCACCCTTCTTCCTACGCACAAGACAGGTTCCCAGCTGAGGATGAAAGGTGATCTACTCTTAAGGTCTATATCATCCTTAAATGGCAGTTTTACAAAGTTACGTTCATTTTCAAAAGACAAAATAACAGGAGAAAAGAGTATCTTCAGCCCTTGTCCAACAATCTCAGTTTGTCCTCAAAACTGGAATTCTTATGAATATTCCCTAGTGCTCTGAAAACAGGAATTTAGCAAACTGCCTTTAACAGTGAACTGAAGACTTCATTCTAAACATGAACACTCAAAAATGGGCCACACTTTATAAAAGCAGCTGAACGTGACATGCTCTAAAACATGCAGGAAACAAATGGCAACCAGGCAGTTTCCAAAAAAATGATGAAATAGACCAGCCACGAGACCAAATAGCTAATGCCTATCATGTTTTTGTATTTTTTTTTTAAATTAAATACAAAGCATGCAATGTTTCAACAGTACAACCCATGCTCAATACATAAGATCTTATTTTCCTCTGCTGCTGGTGTAAATGATATCAGAATCTGTGCCTTCATTCACATCATTAAATCACACAAAAAATATAAACTACCAATTTTCTGAAGACTAAATATTCTGATGATTCTTAGCTCTAAACTGTATTTTTTCCTTTTCTTGTCACATTCAAAGGTTGACATTTGAAGAATGCATTACTTTCTTTACCAGGCTGTTTTAAAGGTGGGTCTAAATCTCAAATCATCTATGCATTTGAAGACTATTCAAATTCATGAAGACAAAATTATCCTCACTGTCACACCAGTATTTTCAGCTTCATCCCATTCCAGCTTCATGTCAACAACCATCCTCTCTTCTCTCTGAATTTAGGATGCCATCTAGACAATAGAAAAACACTGCCTTCTCTGAATGTGCCGTTTTTCTGAACACAGCTTTTTGACTGGTCACGTTCCCTGGTTAACATTCAGCTATTATTGTCAGAAATCAGCCTGCATACCAGATTTTAAAAGATACACACACACACACACAAATGTACACACAGACATATTCATTTTTTCCATACAGGTCAGGTACACAGATGCTCTGCAGTGAATCCAAGCCTCACTTTAAAAATCTGTTACAGCTACTTCTTTGACCCTGAATTAGTAGAACAGAACTCAAAGCTTTTGCAAACAGCCTGTTATCATCTCCAGAAGAATCTGTCCATTCTACTTGAGTAGTTCACCCTGGTATTAGAAACTCCCAAAACTTTTTGAAGTCTCAGCATTTGTTCCTTGGTCATCCTCTAGTTTTTCTGTCCTACCCAACAGGCAACGACTTTGTTCATTTCTTTTGGCATCAAAAACATCCATGAATGCTTTCCATAGTTGTGGGATCAAATTAATAACCTTATGTTCAATGGATAGCCCTAGGGACATGCCATCAGAAACCCAGAGGTTCAATAAATTTAATAAATATGAAAATTCCTTTTTCATTGCTGGCTTATTCCTTTCTGCCGTGTTTCAGTCCTACTGCAAACTTTTGTTGTTGCATGTTGTCCATGCACATGTGGATGTCCTCTTTTCTTCTCTGAGCTGATTACAACTATAGAGTCAGAGAAAAATTCAAACACTTCCCTTTCTATGGAAAAATTTTTATCTTGGGAAGAAAACCTGTTCACTTTACCAAAACAACTTAGATAAACTTACCATAGAAATCAAAAGGATTTGACTGTTCAGGACACGAATAGCCACAGTTGCTAAAAAATGTGATCATTTCCATAGGGTTCCCGCAGAAAACCATTTCTCCAAAGCTCATGATGGCTACTTTGTCAAATAACTGTGGGGACAAATTAAGAAGCACATTAATTCTTGAGTACAGCTACTGTCTTGGTAATAAAAATGCTTTGACGGGAAAAATAGATTTGACACATTCAAACTTCCTTAGTATATTTCTGTCAAACGAAGTTTGTCCTTTCTATCACTCCTCTCTATGGTTATGCAAGATTACACATTTGTAAGCTCTTAAAACTTAGAGCTCTCAATGCTATTGGAGACAGCAGTGTACAGAGCTAACCCAAGAACAGAAATAAGATCTGAGGATTTCTGACTTCACTTCTAATGTACCTTCACATACTGACTCGCCTTCTTTGGTGCTTAATAGTCTCAGTCTGCAAAATCTCCAAATTATTGGGAAAACTATCCTGAACTACTAAGGACTTTAAGAGCACTACTCTTTGGGTGTACATTTGCCAGCACAGGGCTCCCAACTTGTTATGCCCAGCTCATTCCCAAAGCACCAGACCAATTCCAGTCCAGAAGAGCACCATCACTTACAATTGCTTTGTGATCACTCATACTAGATTTATTCAGCCAGAGAAGTGCCTTGCGTTCATGGGGTGGTGCAAATTCAAAATAGTCTTGGGAAGGAAGACCATACCACACAACCTATGTGAAGCTAGAAGACTTGAAATAAAAGCTTTTTTTCCCCTTTCTATTCCAAATCATAGCTTCATCTTGATTTGCAAGCATTTGTAACAATAAATAAAATGCTAGTTTTCACAGTGCCAGCACACATGGGGGATTTAAATGGCTTCTCCCAGTTTTGATTTGGATAGCAGCATAACACAAAGGTTATGCACACTGTGTCAGAGCTATTGGCACAGAGCAGTGTGTATCCTAATATGCACTGCAAGTGGCAGAAGGCCAGATTTGTGAAGTTGAAGACAAGCCTATGTTTACACGGGGGTAATGTTAGGGAGAACTTTAACACAACTGTACTTGATATTGCCCTTTTATACTGAAAAGAACTTAAATACTAAAAAGGATGGTAAAAAATCAAATGCTGAGTAGATATCATTTACCCTGAAGAGTTCTGAGCGAGGCTGATGAATGGTGATAATCACAATCCTGTCTTTGTGTGCAAGTTCCACAAGCAGTGAGACGATCTGGTTTGCAGTCAGGCAATCCAGCCCTGTCGTTGGCTCATCAAGCAGCATGATCTCTGTTTAATGGTAAGAAATAACATTAAAACTCAGGTAAATGGAGAGCAAATGTTATGACTTCTGCATTTGAAGCAAATTTGAAAAATGCTATAGAAATTACTGTACATGTGAAGTTCTATGTGTAACACAGAGCATGCACATTCATTACCAAGGCCTGGTATTTCATCTTTATTTAGCTTCAATGCTCAGGTTCAGCTACTGGGGATAAGAACATGTGGAACTACACAACAAATAAGAACATAGTGATTTCTTTCTAAGGTCAAGTGAAATCCATACATTAGCAAGATAGATTTAATGTGCACTTGCTTCTAAAAAGAACTGTAGTGGAATTCAACATGTACACAAATGTAAATATGGCTGAAATAATTAGCTAGAACTTATTATATGAATTAAATATATAAATAATGAAATTAATTATGAAAAAAAATCAAGAGTTTCATGAGAATACACTATGTGTAATTCTCTAAATGAAAGCAGTTTTTAAAATTGCATTTTCTTCACGGTTTTATTGCATATGGAAGGGTAAAAGTTACAGTCAAATCATTTAGTTTCACGTAGGCGATACATAGCAGAGAAAAGGCAGTTCAATCCTAGGGTTTAAGTATAGGAAAGAAGATTTTTCTCTTTAGGTTTATCCACACAGAATTACTACAATATGAGCTTAATTCTCTGTTACTCAGTTTCAATATTCATTCATACTTTTTTTTTCTTTACACTAAAATTAAGACATACGGAAGCATGGTGTGCATCAACATCTGGCTTCTTATCAAGGAAAAGACCACATGAGAGCTATTATACTCCTGAGTAATTTACTCTCTTTTGTTTCTTTCTTTTCCAAGTGAGCAAAGTTCATGTGCAGACTGCCTTTTTGACCCCATCAAGTACATACATACATGGCCCAATGTCAGACTCAGTGCTTGCATACATAGGGCTCTGATTGGTTCTATAAACCGCAAATTAATGTGTCACAACTAACGTTGCATATGTGGGAAGGGCAAGCCCAGAAACAGGTAAAAGAGTCTAGATGCATGTTCAGTCCTTAACATTTTAGATTTAATTCCTGTCCAAGACCAATAATCAATTAATGGCAAACCTGAATTATGGCTTATCCATCTCCATCATTACTAGGCTAGCTTTCAGTGAATTACAGATTAAAAAATGTATTTGTATTTTAAAGTGAGCTAAGGAAGTCCGTGGCAGAAACACAAAGTAGCACTGCTCTACTTTATGTTCAAAATCCTCTTTGTGGTACTTACTGGGATCTTGTAATAGCTGGGCTGCAATTGAGACACGACGCCTCTCACCTCCAGAAATTCCTACATATATTTGGCTTCCAATTATTTTGTTGGCAATGTGGCTAAGACTCAGCTCGGCCATAACCGCATCGACCTGAAAAATAATTCCAATTTAGAAAGACCAATCAGTGTTCAACTCAGATACTAACTCAGATACTCAGAATAACAAAAACTGAAGGGGAAAAAAAAGGCATAATTTTAAGCTAAGACTTTCCCAGAATGTTGCTTGCACCCATTGTAACTGGAAGGATTTGGGCCTGATTTTTATTAGATTATTTTTAATGCAGTAATCCAATTACTTTTACAAATATTTTTTCATTTCTACATATTCTAAAATGAGTAAAATTTTAGCTTTGCTTGACATTAAGAGATGAGGAGGTCAGAGGCTAGACATTAAGAATAACATGTTAGTCTGGCTTCCAAAATAAGGGAACAGAAAAGCAAATCAATTCTGGAGAAGTACAAAATACTGAATGCAGAATGGGTGAAGAGAGAAGACAGAGGGCAAGAACTTTCAACTGGGAACTTATGAGCCGAGGACAGAAGGCGCCCTCTAGTAGATCAGAAACGTGCATATTTTATTGAAAAGGTAGCTTGTGAGCAGCTCAGTAGAATGGTGCATTTCAGGGCTGCTCTGGTTAGTGAGAGAGTTCCCCCAGGAGCCAGAGTAGTGTTAGTATCAGCTCTGCTGTTCAAGAGACTGGCCAGCATACACAGCCTTTAGCATTACAGAGAGCTGGGTTTCCCAGCTGGCCAATGGGAGCTGAACTCTGTGCCAATAACATCTACTGCAGCAGTAATTGCTGCAGCTTTGAACTAAAGTTTTGTTCCAAGATATTTGCTGGGAAATAGACACAAGCTCCCTACAGAGGTGGTGAGCATTAGGGAGTCTATCCTGCTTCTTGCTCAGCAGAAGGATATCTCTCCAGCTGCAGAATAAGGATTATGAAACTGCATAAATATAAACCATGGCCATGGATGAAAAGTGCTTCCAGTAAAAGCATTTCATGATGTCATGTCTGCATTCCTAGCAGAAGATGATAATACACAGACCTTCTTCTTGATGAAGCTGTTGGAGCACTTCTGAAGAGCAAGTAAAGCTGTGTAGGTCAGAGACTCTTCTATGGTGAGGAAGCTTAGCAAAGCGTCATTCTAAGAAAAAGGTGAAGAACGAGTAGCAGTTAGTCCAGTAGTAATTAAGGTACTGCTTTTACTCACAATCTCTCAATTCATTCATGCAATTTATTCACTGCTTTGTACCAAAGCTACTAGTGAAATTGTGGTGGGAATACATTGTACCATTACAGTAGCAAATACTTTTTTGTTGTTTTTGTTTGTTTGTTTGTTGGTTGGTTGGTTTTTGTTTAACAGAAGAGGAATCACAGTACACACAAACAAATGCGGAGATTAACCTGTGGCACATAAGAGAAGCAATCTCTAAACTGTTCCTTCTTCAACTGATGCCCATTCACATACACTTCACCAAAAAAATTGTCCTTATCTTCCAGTCTTCCTGATACTGCATCCAGAAGTGTTGTTTTCCCAGATCCTTTCAAACAAAACAAATCAATCATACGATGAGATGAATTTTGCAATCTCAAGAGCAACAGCATCACTTGCATGGAGACATGTGAAAATAAGGAAGCATTAAACAAAGTCTTAACATGAAAGTAATAGGAAAGCAATTGGGAAACTAGAATAAGTGTGAATTAGCATTTATTTCCCACATTCACACTTTATCGTGAAACATTTGCATTTGGAAGTAACCTTATCTTTTATTGAACTTGTAATTGCTAGTTAGATGGCAGAAGATAGAACTCTGGAAACCAAGTGTCATGTTTTCACAAAGCAGGGGTTAACACAGCTGCAATTTCATTATTTAAAGCACAGACCTCAGTCACATTCAGACTACTGTGTTAGTCACCAGTAATAACTCTGATTTTATTTCTTTGAACATAGAGGAACAACTTACCAGAGTTTCCTAAAATCCCCATAATCTGGCCACTCTCTATATGAAATGAAACATCTTTAAGTATTTGCCGAGTCCATTTGGTATGGTATAAAGGAACTTTCCACCATGGGCCAACACTCTCTCTTGGAAAACAAACATCAGAAAGGAAGAAACATTGAAGATGCAAGAAGTTTTGCATGACACACATACAAAGAACTTTGGAAATCTCCACTACATGACCCACCACGAGGTGGGCAGCCCTACCATGGCCCCTCGCTCTTCACCAGCCCAAGGCTGAGCCCGCAGCCCACCTGTCCCAGCCCTCTCCCCTCCTTTCCCGGGGTCGGGTCAGCTCTCAGCAAGCAGGGGCTCACCTTGCCTCCAGGATCCCTTGTCCTACCTGACACTGTAGGAGACCCCCCGCACACTGATGCAGTTGGCGGGCTGTGCCACGGCCTTCGTCTCGCCTGCCTGCCCACTGTTGTCACTCCTCTCCGGGGCGGGAGACCCTCTTCCCGTCATCCTCTTGCACCAGAGCCCCACGGGCCGCTGCCCTCACACCACCAGCCAGATGCCTGCCACTGCCACCATGCCTCTGCTGGGATGGGGGCAGCTCCCCGCTCCTCCTAGAATGGAGCAACTAGTTGCCCCCAGCACACGCCACCCTGGGAAGCGCCTACAAGAAAACAGAGCGTCTCTCTGCACTTTCTTTTCCAGAGAGCAACTGATAGCAGCTTCAGCTAATCGCCTATCTGATGTACCTTTAGCCCTAGCTGTCAGCGTCTGGGAGGAGGGGAGTATTTCCCAGTCCACAAGGTCACGCCTACTGCAGAGACACCAGGGCACTGCTCTGAAGGCGCTTGGAAAGCTCAGAAGCAAGGAGAGAAGGCTCCCTACGCCTCTCCAGGAGCCCACCACCAAAGCAGCACAGGGCACATCCTGTGCACCCAAGATGAAGAAAGCCCCCGAGAACATCACTCTGGAAGATGCCAACTGGAGCCAGGACACGTGCACGAGCTCATCGGTGAGTGAGAGCTGTGAGAGGGCTGGCTACGGGCTGCTGGGGAAGCCCAGGCTTCCTCCAGGGACTGCAGAGAGAGCTCGCAAGGTCTTAGTGCTGCTTTTCAGACAATTTAGTATCTTGCTGCTTTCCAGTGCATACCTAGACAGGAAACAGGGGAATGGAGCTCTTCCAGCAGCCCTCAGCTGAAGCTGAAAGTTACATGACTTGGGTGAAATGAGAACTCAGACTATGAATCCCTGGAAGAGCCTTAGCTCTGTTATGACAAAAGATACAGGATGATCTCTGAGTGTTGACTTAGGATAACGTGCCATTGCCCCGTTATTTTACAAGACATTTCTTCAGCAGAGATGGTGGGTATTTGATATTTTGGTTGGTTAAATTAATACCCTGTCTGATTATGATTAACATTTTCTTACTGAGCATACATTGTTTGCAGCTACCATTTGCTCTTTATAAGCATAGACATTAGCAAATTATCTTCTGTATGTGTGCAGTGGTGAATTAACTGATCCAGGTTACTATGGTACAGTATGGATGAATTAAATAACGAGCATGCTCATAGTGTACTTTAATTTTTAGCTGCCATAAAATACCGATTTCAATACATACCATTTTGATCCAGTAGACATTAATACTCCAACAGTCATCCATTTCTTCTACAGTAATAAAAATAGAATAGATTAGATTCATCTCCCTATGGTGGCATAGGATTTAGCTCCATTTCAGAAATAGACTCATTTCAACTGAAAGATGAGCATAGCACAGCATAGCTGGCCCTCTGACATATCTTTAGAACAAACTGCATTTCATGCTGGCTAACAGGTAACATTTCAACCTTCTCACACTTTTGTACTATGGAAACTTAACAATACTGGTATATCCCATTGCACATATTTCCATTTCTATTTCTCTTTTTCTTTCTTTTTTTCTGTAATCAAATTTTAATAGCTCTTTAGGTATTGCAATTAACTGTTGTAACTAAGCTAGTACTTTCTCCACATCAAGGCCCAGGACAGTATTTTTTGTTCTGAAGAAGATAACAGCCTGTATTTCACATACAGCGGAAAATCAAACGTTCTTGAGGTCAAAGAACTCAACTACCAGGTAAACACTCTACTTTATGTAATTCCCTTGAGCAGGGAACATATCCAGCAGTTCTTGTTTCATTTTGTAAGCCATTTTAGAAGTAGAATAAAGTTCAAGTTCACATAAATGTTGCACAGTAAAATATACAGAAGTTTTGTAAGGAGGATCATGCTCGTGGCTGTAGTATTGACAATGGGCTCCATGCTCCATTGTAAACATTTCTAGTAAAGCTTGAGGGTGACACAGGAGAAGAGGTCAATTTATAGGCTGTTTTCTCTGTCTTAAGCTAAATTACTCCTTTGAGGACTGAAGCAGAGGGATTTTCCATCCGGTCAGAGATAGCAGGAGCCTTTGCTGGCAAGAATGTGTGTGCAGGAGGTGTGGTAGGATGACATGGATAACAAATACAAAGAGGATTTCAGGAAACTAGTGAAATTTGTCACCTCTCTCTGTGCCATGGGGCATCCGAAGTAGGCTTCGTAATTTCCCGTTTTGAGTAATTTTAAATTGTATTAAAAAATAATGTATAATAGCAATGCATTGCAGGACAGATAATTTTGGTGATTAACAGAAATAAGAAGCAAAGGATGAAAAACATACACGCCTCGAAGAGAATTTTTGTATTTTTGTATTTCTGAATATTAACATTATTTTAACTTATTCTTTGCTTTGTGACAAATTTGAAAGTATTTACTGTGAAGTAGTTTATTGTTTGATTTGTTTTTTTTCTTTGTTAGGTTAACCTGGCATCCCAGATTCCCTGGTATGAGAAACTCACGCAGATGCAACTGCTATTGCCCTGGAACTCAGGTCCTGATTCTCACGTGTCAGTAATCCAGAACCTGAATTTAAAAGTTCACAGCGGTCAGATGCTAGCTATTATAGGAAGCACAGGTAAGAGCAACCGTGTTTCATGATTTGATCAATCCTTGGATAAAACGTACACAATTGAAAACAATACTCATCAGTCCCTTGAAGGGCAAAATCTAGCTGAGAAACAACTAGTGGAAATGCATCACTTAAATACATCATTAAAAAGTTAAGTGTGAGAAAACAAAGAATCATAGTGGAGAAACATGTATTCTGAATTTGTTTTCAAAACCAATTTTTCCTATGACTTGTATATTTGCTCTTTGTTCCTTGAGATGCAGTGAGGTGCTGCTGCCACTGTGCTTTGCACTCTCAACTCTGTTGCACGTGAAGCAGCTTCATGGCTCCTATTAAAAAAAAAAAAAGTAGATTGCAGACCTCACCCAGTAATATAACAGATATGAAGCCAGACCCTGCAAAGATCAGTGGCAACTGGTAGAGCATAGCCACAAATAGCAACTCCCTTCACATGCAAACAATCCTTAGAGGATAAACTACCACCTTCAGATCAATTAATGTAAAACTTAAGAAGATAATTCCTCTTCTGTCTGACTCACAGTGTCTTAAAAACAGATCTCTGGTTTTTCTTCCCCATTGTCATGTGGAATTTTTCTGAGCATGTATCTGTAAGGAAAATGAAGTTGCACCTTAGAGATTTCCCATAATAAATGAAAAAGCTTATGATGAAATAACATTTTGCAATATAGGTATACCACTGTTGTAAGGTAACATGCACTGAACACATACCCTTTTTAGCAGACTAGTCAAACTATTTTTAAAAGCTGTTTATCATCTATTTTTCCAAATGCCTTAGTAAAATGGGTTAAACTGCTGATGAGTTTCACAATATCAATGGCAATCAATATGTCACTCTTAAATTGAGCAATACATACTTTACAGATGGATGGATTTCCTTTTTAAAATGTACACATTAGAAAACAAGTGCAGTTAATCTTTTAACAGGAAATCTGGAAATAAATGACATCTAATCATAATGAGAGAGCTCTGTGTTTACCTTAAGTATCATACAGCATAAGGGAAAAAGTCATTTGCTATTTAATTCCAAATAATGTTTTGATTACATTGTTTTCATTTCCTTATCTCTGAACATAAGCCAGCTTTTCTTAATTATTTAAATGACTTTTTGTCTTATTCAAATAATAGTAATTTCTATTTGATCATGATTAAGATTTTTATTGTCAGTATAATCATTTGATGCCTTAGTCTTTTGGATGTTACAGCTGCCATTTCTGAATCCACAGCTCCTTCCAATAAGTAAGATCATGCAGAGTGTTTAGGTGACAGCCCTGCAGCCAGGCCAGGATTCCACCTTTCAGCTATCTCTCCAAAGGGTAAAAGAAAGGTGACTGGGGGGACAAGGAGAGATCTTGCTTCTCACATTCAAAGAGCTGTCCTCAAAGCCCATCCACCCAATTCTCCTGAGAGATGACAAAGGTTGAAGTCATCCTCCATTCTGGAGGGGACAGATCTTCTGAGCATGAGCTTGCAGTCATGTGTTGGCATTCTCTTTCAAGACCATTCTGTATTTGCAGCATTAGAAAAGCAACATTTCAGGAAAAGAAGTTAGGGAATGAAAACTACCGTGTATAAATCAGTTTTCAAATTAATGTTCTAGAAATGTACTTATTTTCCAATTTTGATCATTCTAGCTGGCGGAAAGACATCCTTGCTTGATGTGATAACCTGCCGGGATCATGGAGGCAAAATCAAGTCTGGTCAAATCATGATCAACAACAAACCCAGCACTCCCCAGCTTGTCAAGAAATGCATTGCACATGTGAGGCAGGATGACCGACTGCTACCCCACCTGACTGTCAGAGAAACGCTATTGTTCATTGCCAAGCTGCGCCTTCCAGCATGTTTTTCAGACTTGCAAAGGCAAAAAAGGGTAATTAAGCTGTTGGGAAAAAACAAAGTTGTCAAAAACATGTCTGACAGAAGTTATCCAATAGATTCAGTGTGTTTGGAGTCAGAACAGCTAATCTGGCATTTTTTTAATTTAAATTATGAGTTATAAACCTTTTTCTTATTTTCAAAATAGAAACCAGCAATTGTTCCAAAGTGCATAAAAAATAATGATCTAGAGAAAGCATCAGAGAGGCTGAAAGAAGAGATACATTTGCTTATTGCTGAGCAATTTTTAAATGATATCTCTAAAATCAAGATTTGTTTTCAAGTGGTTCTTGATCAGACAGCACCATAATATCCAGATGAATTTTAACTATTTTCAGCATTTTCTGTACACAAACGTGCAAGTAAACTCTTTCATTTTTATTCCCCCAGGTGGAAGATGTAATAGCAGAGCTACGGTTGCGGCAGTGCGCGAACACAAGGGTAGGGAATGAGTACCTCCGTGGCGTTTCAGGAGGCGAGAGGAGGAGGGTGAGCATCGGTGTGCAGCTGCTCTGGAACCCAGGTGAGCAAAACCCAGACAACTTCCTTGAGTTCACCACAAACCCCTGGGAGAAACAGAGAACGCAAGAGGATTCAGGGAAAAGTCACACACAAGTTTGCAGGGAGGACTTCCTGAAGGAGTCCTGGAGGGATGTTTAGCAGCCCTTTGCACTTCTGCCAGCTTTGCCAAAGCAGCAGCAGTTACAGAGCCAGGCAGAGTCCCCTCCGGAAGCCTCCACTCACCATCAACCAAACTACTGAATACTGTTAGAAGTCACCCTCACACTCCACTTTGTGCAAATCTGCATGAGGTTTGTCTTTTCATGACTGTATGCCACAATTTACTTTGGAGGCTTGGTTATCTCTTATAAACCTTGGATTGCTTTTCTTTCTTTCAACCTGACCTATTCACAAGTACAATGTTAACAGTGAAGGTCATTCTCTTGGCA